ATTGATGATGTGTGAGGAACCGACTGGATTTCTCTGTACATGCAAACAGGAAAGGAAGTTGCAATTAGGACTGAAGAAGAAGCAGGAAGTGATAGGCGTCCCCGTTTTGACTTTCCGCCACATTAGACCACTGCCATAATTCATACTGGGGCAAGAACCTTTTATTTGTAACCCAGGCTGGCCTCAAATTTGTGGAAATCCTCTGCCTTAACCTTCCTTAATGCTGGAATTACAGATATGAACCTCCACACCTGGCCCTTTTTCAGTTCGCTTGCTTGCTTGCTTTCTTGCTTGCTTGCTTTCTGTCTGTCTGTCTGTCTTTCTTTCTTTCCTTTCTTTCTCTCTCTCTCTTTCTTTCTTTCTTTCTTCCTGTCTTTCTGTCTGTCTGTCTGTCTGTCTTTCTAATAGGTACTGGGATCCAACTCACAACCACGCGCTTGCAAGGCAGGTGTTTATGCCTGTTGTACCCCAAAAACAAGCCCCCAAAATGGTGTCCAAAAATTGGGGCAAAACGTACTTTTTAAGGAAAAGGAGCACTGTTTATTTATCCTGGCACCAGGGACACAGTGCAGTTGGAGTTTGCAAAGCTGTATGTCTGGCTTAAAACTTTTTACAGACTTTTTTAGAAAGTACAATTAAGAGGACCTTTGTTTCCCTTTGCTTGAGGACAGAGAAGTTTCGCAGTAATTTACAATCTTTTGTCAGCTAATTTTAATTTTATAACAATGTAGGGGCTGGGGATTTAGCTCAGCAGCATAAGTACCTGCCTTGCAAGCGCGTGGTTGTGAGTTCGATCCCTGGTACTGGTAAAAAAAAAAAAGAAGAAGAAGCAGAAGTTTGTAGTCTTTAGGTTCTAGTCTTTAGTGTTTCCAAAATAAGAGAAGAAGTACTCATGAGTATAGCTTTTAAGCTTCTTGTTACATGTAGATTTAATAGAAATGCAAGTTTATTTTGAACACAATATTGAATGTATGTGTTTCTGAATCATCGGGGTTGTATGGTGGTGGTGGGAGGAGGGACAGGGAATTGAACCCAGGACTTTCACACAGTGAACAACATCCCTAACCCCCCCCCCTTTTTTTTTAATCGGTACCAGGGATTGGTACGGGGGATTGAACTCACGATTGCCTGCTTGTAAGGCAGGCGCTTACGCCGCTGAGCTAAATCCCCAGCCCTTTTTTTGGTTATTTGGAAGCGAGTCTTACCGTGTATTCTATTTTGGTCCTTTTTTTTTTTTTTTTTTTTTAAAGCGGTACCAGGGATCGAACTCATGACCTCCCGCTTGCCAGACAGGTGCCTATTCCACTAAGCTAAATCCCCAGCCTCCAGTTTGGCCTTGAACTTGCTTTGTGGTGATCCTCCTGCCTCTTGTCTCCCAAGTGTTGGGATTATATGTATGCTTAACCACATTGGGCCTCTGCCCCTCTTTTATTTTGAGATGGTGTCTTACTAAGTTGCCTAGGGGTAATTTGATCACCCTTATCTGTTGCTTGGGAGTACAGGTGTGTGCCACTATGCCTGTGTTACTCTAATAGGTTTGGAATAGATTTGCAGGCTCTTTGAGTATATGTGAATACAATCCTAGTAATTTCCTGAAAAAGCACAGGTGTTTGCACTGAGACTGATTTTTACCTTAATGTTCTTAATATTATCCATGAGGCTTGTCCTGGCCTGCTTGCTGGAAGGCTGTGATGACTCAAAGAAGCCCTGACTTCATCTGGAAAACTGCTTGGCAAACCAGGCATAGTGGTGCACCCCTGTGATCGCAGCACTCTGCCAGGCCAACTCGGGAGGGTGGCAAGTTGAAATCCTGCCTGGTCAATTTAGTGAGACATGTTTAAAAAAACAAGAACGGCTGAGGATATAGCTCAGTGCAGAGGACCCTGGGTTCAATTTTCAGTATTGCAGCAAACAAAATGTACTGGGTAGGGAGGTGAGGGAATATAATTAGTTCCCTCTTGTAACCCAAATCGGGAGAAGGAGGTATCCTCCTGGTTCTGCTTTCACTTAGCAGATCCTTTGAAACCTTATTTTCTTATATCTTCGCCCTGATTAGAGTTAAGGTTACCATTACTGGATGGTCCAGTCATAACACATTTCGCTAGAATTAGTGGACTCAGGATTCCCTAAGATTCATAGTGGATTATTGAAGTAAAGAGACCCTGACTTTTGACCTATGGACGTGATGTGGGCAACTCTTCTCATCCCCATCTGTGATGTAGAGATCACAGTAATACTTCCTATAGAAATATGTACAGGGAGGTATATACTAGCTGACACTTGTATATTCTTTCTGTATCATGTTTTTCATTGTATACTTGGCAATTGGCACTAAAAGAATAGATTCACTCCACTGTCAGTATTATAAAGTAATAGTCCTCTTTTTGTTTGTGTGTTTGTTTGCAGTGCTAGTTATCAAACTCAGAGCCTCACATATGGTAGGCAAGCATTCTACTCCTGAGCTACACCTCTAGTTTTCTCTTCATATTACCTCTTCTCACCTGAACTCAGCTTTACTGGAATAGTCTGTCAGAGTTTGTCTTTAGCATACTTGTCTTCATTTAATTTTTGGTTTTATCAGAGGGCCATATTGTTATCTATAGATGGAATCTACTTTTTATTCTGTCTTTGTTATAATTCCTAGTGCTACTGAGAATAAGGACTCATTATACAATGTTATAATTTCTTGATATTTCTTAAGAAACAGCAATTTTATTTTGAAAATACATAATATCACTTAATATTAGCTGAGTATATGACACGTGACTGTAATCCCAGCACTTGGGAGGCTGAGGCAGGAGGGTTGTTGTGGGTTTGAGGCCAAACTGGGCTGCTTAGAGTCCAGGCCACCTTAAACTGTGTAACAAGATACACACTGTCTATAAATAAATAAACAAGTATTATTGAGTGACCACCTCTGTCCAGTCTAGTTCTGGGCTCTGTGGATCTGAAAGGCAGCCTGACCACTGTGCTTAGTTTAAAAGACCATTTAGGCCATCTGTGGTAATAAAAGGAGGTGACATTAATTGCACTCTGGAATGTGCCCCATTTAGTCTCTGTTTGGGGATCCTTTGAGCTCTTAGGGGTTGGGATCACAGTTGGTTACTTTGTCTTCCCTCCTGAAGTTTTCTGTGAACTGGGCAGGTACTGCCCTTGGTAGCTACAGTTTAAGAATGCAAAGCAGAATATCAAAGTTCTTTGTGTGTTCCTGGTTCCTGAAATTTGCTACGTATTTCTTCTTGATTTAATAGTATCATCCTCCTCGCTGGGAAGCATGATCTAGACCTCTAAACACATCCATGTTTAGTATGGTCTGACCCTCATCTTGATACTTAGGTCTTTTATAACTAGCTAGCTTGCCAATTAACTAGATATTATGGCTGTAACATTTACAGTAGTAGATGGTTACTACTACTTCATTACTGAAATGTGAACTACTTTCTATGTCAGTAATCATATATAATGTTCTTTTCAATAACTAGATAGTTGTCTACTGCATGACTGTGTCATATATTATCTAACTCATTCTCCTGGACATTCAGATTATTTTAGATGTCTTACTATATTAAATAAAGCAGTGGTATACATATCCTTCACCATTTTCTAATGAATTTATAGAAGCAAGAATTGCTAGTTCAAATCATATGAGCCAGGGCCAGGGATTTAGCTCAGTGTAATAAGCACTTGCCTGGCAAGTGTGAGGTAATGAGTACGATCCTCAGTACCCGCCCCACTCCCCCCCCCCAAATCACATGAGCCAGGCACACAGTGTCATACTCCTATAATCCCAGGACTCAGGAGGCTGAGGTAAGAAGATTCGCCCCCCTGTAAATTTAAGGCTAGCCTGAACTACATAGTGAATTCAAGGCCAGCCTGAACTAAATAGTGAGACCCTTTCTCAAAAAACAAAACAAAAAATCATTTTCTGAAATGCTTCAATATGGTGTGCTTTTAAGTGGCCTCTAAGAAAATAGGAGTCAAAGAAGCTGCTCACAGGTTTTTTTTTTTTTTTTGGGGGGGGGGTGTCTTTTTCCTTTTTATTGGTACCGGAGATGGAACTCACGACTGCCTGCTTGCAAGGCAGGGCACTTATGCTGCTGAGCTAAATCCCCAGCTCCTGCTCACAGTTTTTTAAACTTTTTTTACAATTAGAATTCATAGATGCTGGAAATTAAAGAAGTTTTAGATAATGCTTGGAGGTTTATTTTCTTGGTTTGTTTTCTTGTTGCTATTGCTTTGTTTTTTCCTTTTTGTTGGAGTTTATGTAAGGAAATGAAGGCTTAGAAATTTTCCACAAGTACTAGGGCTAGCTAGAAGGTGTGCATTGTGCATATGGCCTCATGTGGCATGTGAGGGAACAAATCATATGTTTTAGCTCATTTTAAAAATTCAGTTGTAGGGGCCTGGGGATTTAGCTCAGCGGCATAAGTGCTTGCCTTGCAAGCAGGCAGTCGTGAGTTTGATCCCTGGTACCAATAAAAAAGAAAAAGACAAAAAAAAAAATTCAGTTGTAGTGAAAGTTGAACAGGACTATATTTTCTAGTCCTTTTTATTTATTTATTTTTATAATTTTTGAAAGTCTTGCTAAGTCACTAATTTACTAGACGGGGCCCAAACTTGTAATCCTCCTGCCTTGGCTTCTACAAAAGCTAGGATTGTCAGTGTCCAGCACCATGCCCAGTCTCATATCTCTTTTGATTATATTGGATACCAAATTGTTACTTATCGTTAAAAAAAAAAAACAAAAGAAGTGGTTTTAAGTGTCAAATGAAATTTTCTTGAAAGTGTCATTAATTAAAACAAAGATAGAAAATCATGAGATCCACAAAATTACCAAGATTATGAGTCTAAATTTAAAAGGCAAAGTAGAGAGTCAAGAGAAAGAACTTGAAAATTAAACCTAGGTCTCTCATAGACTTCATTATATGCACATCTCTAATTTTGGAGCACTCTAGAATCTCCCATTGTAATTTGATTTTTTTTTTTTTCTTTCTTTTCAGGTATCTCATTCAGTTGCCAAACTAATATTAGTTAATTTCCACTGGCAAGTCTCAGAGATATTGGACAGGTAAGGTTGTTAGAGGAGAGAAGATGACATTACCTATAGCTCTTCACCCACTGATGTTCATTACTTACACTTTGGAGTATATTCTTTCAATGTGCATATTATGGTTCTTACACACTAATTTTTTGTTGTTGTTGTTGTACTGGGGATCGAACTCATGACCTCACACTTTATGCTGCTGAGCTAAGTCCCTAGCCCCTTTACACACTAATATTATACATCCCTTCCTTTCAGTTACGAATTTTTCCATAGTTTACTCAGTTTTAATGGTAGCTCAGTATTTCATCATATAGGTGTTCCATACTGTTTTCCAAACATTGATTTTGTGCCATTGCTGACTTTTTTGAGACAGAGTCTCACCATGTTCAGACTGGCCATGAAGTTATTTTGTAGCCCAGAGTGGCCTCGAACTGAGGGCCATCCAATACCAAGTGCTGAGATTACTGGCATGTGTCACCACATCCTGCTTTGATTCTAATTAATGCTCTTATAAATAATACTTTCAGTTCCTGCACCCCTGGTAACACCCTAGTGCTAAGAATTGAATCTAGGGCTTTCACACTGAGCTATATCTCCAGCTCCTTTTTCTTAGTCCCCATCTTTTTTTTTTTTTTTTTTTTTGGTCTTTTTGAGACAGGGTCTCTATGCAGTTCAGTCTGGCCTTGAGCTAACTTTGTAGCCTAGGCTGGTCTCGAACTCACAACGATCCTCCTGCCTCAGCCTCCCGAGTGCTGGGATTACAAGTGTGAGCCACCATGCCTGGCTTTCCCCATCTTTTGAGACAGGTTTCTCTATGCAGTTCAGGCTGACCTTACACTCACTTTGTAGCCCAGGCTACTCTTGAACTCACAGGGTGCCTCAGCCTCCCAAGAGCATCCAGCTCTGTTTTTTGAGACAGGATCTTGTTAAGTTGCCCAGGCTTGGCTTGTACTTTTGATCTTTCTGCTTCAGCCTCCCAAGTGCTGGAATTAAAACTATGCACTGCTACCCTGGCTCCAGCTACTTCTTTTGGATACATCAAGTGAAGACTTTATTGGTTTTTTTGTCTTTTCCCTTTTTATCAGTACCAGGGATTGAACTCACGACTGCCCGCTTATAAGGCAGGCGCTTATGCCGCTGAGCTAAATCCCCAGCACCAAAGACTTTATTCTTAATAGTGGCATTAGTGGCTTTTGGAAATGTCAGCCTCTTTACCACCCTCCACCACTGCCAGCAGAGTTTTAGGGTGTTCCTTCATACTTCTTCAGAGCCAGGGCACTCAAGCCGTAGATCCTAGAGTATCAGGTGTCTTGAGAGTTGTCAGGAAAAGGTGTTCATCCCCTCATACATCCTTTGGAAAGATTCCCCCTTACCCGCCCAGTGGTACGCATCTGTGTCTAGCTCAGTGTTTCTCACCCTTGACACTGCTGATACTTGGGGCTGGGCAGTTGTTTACCGTGGGAGACTACTCTCTAAACTGTAGGATGTTTTGACAGCATTCCCAGTCCCTATCCATTAAAAGTCAGTGGCAGTAGTATATCCGAGTCTTTGACTATCAGAATTGTCTAAAATAGGGGCTGGGGATTTAGCTCAGCGGCGTAAACACCTGCCTTGCAAGCAGGCAGTCGTGAGTTCGATCCCTGGTACTGATAAAAAGGAAAAAGACCAAAAAAAAAAACCAAAGAATTGTCTAAAATATGTATCAGATAACCCCTGATGAACAAAATAATAATAAAAAATTATTATTTTGGTTTTTTTGTCTTTTTCATTTTTATCGGTACCAGGGATCGAACTCACAACTGCCTGCTTGCAAGGCAGGTGCTTATGCCTCTGAGCTAAATCCCCAGCCCCTATTTTGGTTTTTTTGAGACGCTCTCACTGTGTAGTTCAGGCTGGCTTCAAATGCATGGTGATCCTCCTGCCTCAGCCCCCCAAGACCTGAGATTACAGGCATGCACCACTACACCTGGCCTTCAATAGATTTTTCTTTGTATATTGTAATTCTATTTATGTTTCTACAAAGGAAGGTTATACCTTTATTCCTTAAAACTAAATATAACTGGGAAGACCATACCAGCTCAGACACTCAGAAAAAGGCAAATGATTCCTGATTGCTACACTTACGTGCTCTGTACTCAAGAGCTGAACATACTTAGGCAGACCTGCAGATGGACTTGTACAATTGACACAGCTGGAACCACATAGATTCTGGTAACGGGTTATGTCTGGCCGTCCACATTCTGTCATAACTTGGGAGTAGGGATTTGAACAGCTGAAGATAATTAGGGTATTAGTGTGAGAACTAGAAATTAAAAAAAAAAAATTCTTCAAAAAAAGGTAGATAGATAGAGGAAGGATACTGAGAGGGTCAGGTAGATGAAACATGGTTCTTTTCATGCTATAATTACTGATGTCTTGGAAATGTGTATACCTGGGCTTTGTGTAGCATTTGCCACATGATAATCTTGTTTATTTTTAAACATATTCGTGTTATACTTTATTCCAGAACAGAATTAAATATTCATTAAAAAGAATTTTAGCCCAGCATGGTGGCTCACTCCCAGCACTTGGGAGGCTGAAGCAGGAGGATCTTTGCAAGTTCGGGACCAGCCTAGACTACAAAGTGAACCCAAGGCCAGCCTGAACTACATATTGAGACCCTGTCGCAAAAAGACCAAAAAAAAAAAAAAAAAAGTCTTTTTAAAGAATGTATGTGATAACAGAGCAGTCATTTTGATATCTACTCTAACAAGAACCCTCTGAAGCTTAGGAGGCTAGTGGGGGAGAACCATAAGATCAAGGCCAGCTGGGGTAATTTAGTAAGCCCCTGTCTCCAAAAAAAAAAAAAAAGCCAGGTGTGGTGGTGCACACGTATAATCCAAGCACTGGGGAGGCTGAAGCAGGAGGATTGGCAGAAGGATCCTTTCAAGTTTGAGACCAGCGTAGCCAGACCCTGTCTAAAAAAAAAAAAAGAAAAACAACAAATTAGTGTCGGTGCCCACCTGTAATCACAGACCTCTGAGAGGCTAATGCAGAACAATGGCAAATTCAAGCTCACCTGGGCAAGTTAGTGAGACCCAAATAAAAATAAAAAGCCACCCTAGAGATTAAAGGTAGAGCTTAGCATGAAGTTCCTAGATTCAACCCCCAGCACTACATGCATGAGCGAATGAATGGCTTGGGGTGTAGAGCAGCACTCCTGTGTTCAATCCCCAGTCCTGGAAAAAATCAGGAAGAAGCCTAACATGTGCACACACCTATAACCCTAGCACTTGAGAGGCTGAGGCAGACAGTTGCTGCAAGTTTGCGGCCCGCCTGAGTTATACAGTGAGCTCAAGGTCAGCCTGCAGTGTGTAGCAAGACCCTGCCTCCAAAAACCGAAAAGGAAAAAAAAAAAAAAAAAAAAACCAGCCAGCAGCCCTCTCTTTCTATCAGAGTTCTGTGGAGGTAGTTCCTGCCTGTCCACATTCCCTTCCTTCCTCCCCAAGGCATCTACTTGCACTGAACTGAGTGTCTTACCTTTCCTATTCATTCTTACTTACATTTTGTTTGTATGTTTTGGGCACTAAGAAGATAGGGGGTTATACTAGATGCACTTTATAAATTCATATGCTTTAATGCTATCTCATCAAAGAACATGTTTTCTTTTTCTTGTCCAAAAAAAAAAAAAAAAAAAAAAAAAACCTGAGGTTTTATAGTCTTGTTTTGCTGTTAAAAAACAAACAAACAAAAAAATACAACTTCAAAAACAGTTGTAGATAATTTCCAGAATCACTTAATTTTTCTAAGGCATAAAAATTGAGTTTCTGGGAGGGGAAGGAGATGAAAAAGAATGGAGATGTGCTATGTGTTATAAGAAATGTAATCATTTTGTATTGCAAATGTGCTAATAAAACGAAAAACTGAAGTTTTAAGTTGTAGTATATGTGCATCTTTAGCTTTACTAGAATTGCCAGGTTGTTTTCTGAATTGATCATGCTACTTACACTCCTGCCAGTGGTGTATAAATGTTTCTGTGCCTGTCAAACTTAATTTTGCAGATGGGGCTTGATTTTTTTTTTTTTCAGTGTCTTGGATTATTAAGGAAGTTAAGCACCTTGTCATATGGTTAGTTGCCTTCTATGAAATGCCTGTGCTTTTGCCTTTTTTTTGTTTTTTAAAGACAGTGTCTTATTATGTAGATCAGTCTGGGTTTGAATTCACCATGTAGTCCAGGTTGGTCTCGAACTCATAGCAATCCTCTTGCCTCAGCCTCCCAAGTACTGGGTTTGCAGGTGTGTACAGCCACACCTGACTTGTGGTGTCTTCTGATAAACTGAAGTGCTTAAATATACCATAATTTACCAGATACTTTCTTTGGGTCTTCTGTGTTCTAGGAATCATTGCCTATTGTTAAGATGAAGATACTTCTCTATATCTCCTGAACCAAATTTAATGCAGATCTGGTCTGCTATAAGTATTTTTCTTTTTCTTTTTCTTTTTTTTTTTTTTAAAGCCAGTCAAATTTAGGTGTTGGGGGGGGGTATACCAACTTTAGTGACACTAATGTTAATAAGTTCTGATAACCCACTGCCATCGGACTAGCCATAAGTATTTTTCTTACAGTGCAGTCCCTTGAAGCAGTATTTTCTTACCCCATTCAAGATCTTAAAAACTGAAACAGGAAAAAAAAAATCTTTGTACTCGATCCCCGGTACCGATAAAAAAGAAAAAGAAAAAGACAAAAAAAAAAAAATCTTTGTACTCAGAAATTTGGTTGGTTCTGTGGAGAGGTAGAGATAAAGGTGCTTAATGTGACCATATGGTGCTCTGTCCTGTCATTGTTCAGGTGTAAAAATATCTTCCATTTTCTCATTTCCTTTATTTCTGAATTTTGTTTTATAGATACAAGGCCAATTCTGCTCAGCTGCTTGTTGAGGCTCGAGTTCAGCCTAATCCATCCAAACATGTGAGTGTTTCCTTCTTGAGTAAGTCTTCTGTGGATGCATATGATTCTCTCTGTGGGTTACACTAATACCACTGAGAACCATGGATGTTCTGCCTCTCAGGTAGCATGCCCAAAATACTTCTTTCAGGCCTGAGTCTTCCATTTCTGTTACAGTTTGAAAAGTTCCAGGTGAGGATGTAGTTCAGCAGTAGAGCACTTGCCTCGCCTACTCATAACTGGATTTCATTTCCAGTACCATGGAAAAGAAAGTTGCCTCATAAATAGGCAGTAACGAATTGCTTGTCTATGGATTCTTTCTCATCTTACTTTACCTTCTTCTTTGCATTTACACAGCCTTCACTCCCTTCCAGTGTGTTGGTGTTCCCAAGATCACTACATACTTCTGTGACAGTGCTTGTGTCTTCCCTAGACTAGAATGGTTGGACTGTGTTCCTATTTTTGCTTGTAGGTATAGAATTTACTTTTAAAGACTCAAATCTAAGCTACCTCTTCACAAAGCTTTTTTTTTTGTGTGTGTGTGTGTGTGTGTGTGTTTTTTTCCTTTTTATCGGTACCAGGGATCGAACTCACGACTGCCTGCTTAGAAGGCAGGCGCTTGTGCCGCTGAGCTAAATCCCCAGCCCCTTCACAAAGCCTATTTGCTATGAAATAGGAAATTTAATTGTCTTTCTCTCTCTCTCTTTTCTTTTTTTTTCTAATATGTCTTTAAACTTTCTGTTTGTTGTGGCACTACAGATAAAACCCAAATCCTACAACTGAGCTATTCTTTTTTGTTTGTTTTTTTCACTAAGCTGCCCAGGTTGGACCCAAATTTGTAATCCTTCTGCCTCAGTCTCCAAGAGTGGTGGGGTTTCAGATGTGTGTCACCACCATATCTGGGTGTATACTTTATAGTGTGTGTTGTGGTGGCAAACTCATCTTATTTCTCCCACCATAGGAAATATTTCAACAGTGCATTGTGATTTCCTTTATATCTGGGAGATAAAAAACACTTGTTGAGTACCATTTGAGTGAGGGTTTTTTTAAAAAGAGCTATTAGGAGAGGCAATTGGGACTCAAATCACATACTGTTGCAGCCTCTTAGAGAAAGATTTCTGGAAGCATACTGGATAAACATGAAAATAAATCCTTTTCCTCAACTTGGTTTTTAGTTTCCTAGTGAACCAAAAAGAACCTCATGTAAATTTGTAAGATGGAGCTGAGAATGTAGTTCAGTGGTAGAGTACCTGCTACAAAGACCTTATATTTAGTCCCCAGTTTGGAAAAGGAAGCATTTATAAATGGACTTTTTCTTTGGCTTGTAGTTCTAGCCAAAGTCCCCAGGGGTTTTTGGTCTTTCAGTTTGTGTGGCATGGCACAGGTTCTGGAGTTCTAGCTTTGCAGTCATTTTCCTACATGCTAGAAGAGTTTTTCGACTTTCCCTTTGAGATAGTTTGATGTGACAGCCCTTTTCCATATTTAGGACAAATGTTCCGTGGAAAAAGCTTGATGTTTTGTAGCTTTGGCATACTGATAATGGGAAACCTAGTGTCACTGACATGAAAATCTGCAGTGTGTGCTGCTTCTAAGAACCTTTGTGGCTGGGTTCATAGTTCTTGTTGAGGGTTTGCTCTGCTGTGTAGAACAGGGCAGTTTACAAAAGAAGCTACCTAGCCTTTAAAAGTAGGGCTGGGAGTCAGCTTAACTGCACGAGTACCTGCCCGGCAAGCGCGAGGTCTTGAGTTTGATCCACAGTACAAAAAAAAAATTAGACTAAAGTGACCTTGAAGCACCTTGGAAGTTCTGAAATCTTGAATTTTAGTTTTTGTTTCAGCTTTCTGCCTCCCTGGATTCTAGATATTCTGCAGGCCCAGCTCAAGGGCCACTTCCTTCAGGAAGCCTTCCTGATGTATGCTTTCTGCTTAGCGCCCCTTAAGACTCACTGCAGTTGGGCTGTGGCACTTGTTACAATATCAGGATAGCCTTCCATGTGCCCAGCTGCAGCAGGGATGTCCTGTGGCCCTCCTAAACTTGAGGGCTCCTTCCTGGCTCAAGTGGCTCTGTCTCTCTTTAGGTCCCTACGGCCCATCCTCCTCACCATTGTGCAGTGTGCATGCAGTTTGTGCGGAAGGAAAACTTACTCTCTCTGGCCTGTCAGCACCAATTTTGCCGCAGCTGCTGGGAGCAGCACTGCTCAGTACTTGTCAAGGATGGCGTGGGTGTGGGTAAGTGCTGTAGAACTCACAAAGGGCTGGCGTGAAATACTTGTCTCTCACTCTCTCTTCTCATGTTCTCAAATGAGCTGTTTTCTTCTAAGACTGACAGAGATTTTTATTGTCAGAACTAGTGGTTTCTGCATACCTCTGTCCACACAGTGGCAGAGTTTAACCTCTGTCCTCAGCAAAATGAGAAAATTAAAGCTATTATAAGCTGGGCATAGTAGTATATATACTTGTAATCCCAACTACTCAGAAGGCTGAGGCAGAAGATTGCAAGTTCAAGGCCAGTTTGGGTGACTGGGCAAGATCGTATCTTAAAACCAGGAAAAGTTTTAAAGACTAGACATAAAGCCCACTAGTAGATCACCCCTTGGTTTAATTCTCAGTATCCACACCATACACACACAGAAAGCTGTTATAAAGGGTAGCATGAATATGTTTCTTTTTTCTCACTTTTTCCAACTGCTCTTTTAATCACTTCCTCATGTGGCAGCCACAGCTCAGAAAACAACTGAGTTTGTTGCTATTTAGGCAACGTAACATAAATCAAATTTGAAGATCAGGTATAGAAGTATTTGTTGCATTATGACTTAATTAATTGACATCCCATTAATTGGTATCTGCAAAATCTCATTGTAGTAATGGATCATATGCACATAATTTAAATATCTCAAAATTAAATTGTTAAGAAACCCATATAAAGAGCCAAGGCATCGTGGCGCATGACTGCAATCCCTGCACTCAAGAGACTGAAGCAGGAGGTTTGCTGCAAGTTCAAAGCCAGTCTGGGCCTCATAGTGGGACCCTGTCTCAAATTTACAAAAAACAAAAAAACTACGTAATGATTTTGTTATTTAGTGGTGCTTTTAGTGTCATGTATATTCTGAGATAGTATCTTCATTGCATTACTATGAAAATGTTAATTTCTTCTTTGAATTCTATTGCTGTGAGGGTTTCTTATATATGAAATCAGAATTTATTGGTCGAACTTCATGAGCAAGTGTATGTGTCTTCTGCAGTAAGGTTGTCCATCAGGTTGTTTTTGTTCAACAGGAGTCTCTTGTATGGCTCAGGACTGTCCGCTTCGTACACCAGAGGACTTTGTGTTTCCGTTGCTTCCCAATGAAGAATTGAGAGACAAATACAGGCGCTACCTCTTCAGGGACTATGTGGAGGTATGACTAGCTTCTGTTTTTCTGTCCTTTATCTTCCTGAACCTACCTTACATCAGGTGGTCACCATAGTTTATAGATAGACAGCTGTTAGGTACTGCTCTTTGAAGAAAGAGCTTCACAACTTTAAAAAAGTTCAAAAACCTGATAGGAACATCAGCTATGAAACTGATTATAGTGTGAATCTCAGACCTGTTGCTTCCTTGCTGTGTTACTGTTGACTCATTAATTTACCTCTCTTGGGTCTTGGTTTTCTCCTCCACAGAGTGGACAGACACCCCTACTTTGTACACAAATGTTTAAACAACTGTTGTATGTCAGGAGACGAACACAGGTCAGACATGTTTCAGGATTTGCTATCCCATTTGCTGTGTAACTCAGGACAGTGAAGGATTACTTGTTTTTAGCATCTTTGAAAATTTGTCCATAATTTCCCACATGCTCAGTTTTGGAGTCCTTTCCCTCTGTTGGGCTATCTGCTGTTTTGCTCATTCCCATGTAGCATAGTTTTCATATTGATTGTTTATGTCTAAGCTTATTGGCCTGACTAAAGGTCTGTTATGTGCTTAACTGGTTTTTTTGTTTGTTTGTTTTGTTTTAATTTTTAATTTTTGAGGCATTATCTTACTGTGTAGCCCAGGCTGGCCTCAAACTCATGACAGTCCCCCTACTTCAGCCTCCTGAGAGCTAGAATTACAGGTGTGCACTATCACACCTGCTCTTCTTGGCTGGTTTTGATAGATTCCTCAGGATCATTAAACCCTTCAAAGCTGCTAAACACATAGCTGAATGTGCCATGTTCTTTTCTAGACTAGATCTATATGCACTTATTTTTTTTTCTCTTTCTCTTTTTTCTTGTCTCCTCTCTCTTCCCCTACTTTGTCTCTCTCACCACCTTTCCTTCCTTTCTTCCTTGTTTGCTTTCTTTCTTGCTTTTTACCAAGAATCATACTCACGGCCTTGTGCTTGCTAGACAGGTGTTGCACCATTGAGCTATATTCATACTTTCATCTCACAGATAGTTATTTTTGTTTGTTTTTGTATTTGTTCATTTTGTTATAGTTATTTTTGTTTGTTTTTGTATTTGTTCATTTTGTTTTGAGACAGAGTCTATCCGTATTGCCTAGGCTGACCTCAAACTTCTGCACTTAAGTAATTCTCCTGCCTTAGCTTTCCAGGAAGCTAGGACTGCAAGTATATACTACTACACCTTGCCTATAGAAACAATTGTGTATTGCTTTTTAATTCTTTTTTTTTTTTTTCTTATCGGTACCAGGGATTGAACTCACAACCGCCTGCTTGCAAGGCAGGTGCTTATGTCGCTGAGCTAAATCCCCAGCCCATGTATTGCTTTTTAATATATAATCATAAGTCATTCTAGTGAGTTGCTACGTGGTTTAATTGACACATTCAAAGGTTCTTTTCATTACCTGGTCTTCACAGCATTACCTCTGAATTTGTGTAGCCCCTTGCTGTCACTATCTAGAAAAACAAAGCATTTGAACATCTAGGAAAGTCTGTTTTGGAGGCAGCAACTTGGAGCTGCCCTCATTGTTTTTCCTTGGTGTGTTCACAGAGTCACTACCAGCTCCAGCTGTGCCCTGGTGCAGACTGCCCCATGGTTATTCGGGTACAGGAGCCTAGAGCTCGCCGAGTACAATGCAATCGGTGCAACGAGGTCTTCTGGTAAGAGTGAGCGAGTGTTGAACAGCTCTGGGCTTATGTTCCATCTCCAAAGCACCAGAACTGTTGCTCTGTGAAAGCTGGGCTTGGCTTGGGGCAGGGGTAAAGTCTCTGAGTTACATGAGCCTGTGTCCTCTGAGTAGGCAGGTTTGTGCCCTGCATCTCAGGTTCCAGGTGGTATCTGATAAGTGCTCAGTCTGGAGACAAAACAGTGGGGGTGGATTCTTGGAATATGTTATGCTACACTACCTGTAGCCCAGGGATTGTGTGTCTTTGTGGGTATCTGCCTGCACAGATAATTTGCATATTATACTTAAGAGGTTCTTTGTGTCTATTAATTTATTGAGTCTATTTTTTTTTTAAATTTAGATAGAATCTTGCTATGTAGCCCAGGCTGACCTCAAACTTGTAGTGATTCTCCTGCTTCAGCTTCCTGAGTGCTGTGATTATAGGTGTATGTCACCACATCCATCCCAAATGAGCACTTCTTGTCCATGTAGCCTGCTTATAGTATATTGGCAACACAACTGTCAGTGATTTTATTCCATGAATTCTTCACCCAAGTATGACTTTTTGCAGGCTAGGCTTCATAAAGTTTCTACTAAATCAAGTGTTTGCGCTTTGCTATGTGAAATCCCAGTTTTAGAGGGGAAGGGGTACTGGAGATCGAACTTACAACCTAGCACTTGCCCGAAAGGCACTTACGCCACTGAGCTAAATCCCCAGCCCAGTCAAGTGTTAACTAAAGATTTATGAGACAAAGTTAACAGAAATGGTAACAGTTAAGAATGATGGTCCACACAAAAGCAATGAGAAGTTGCAGACACCAAAATTAAAGCTTCTTTATTTTATACCAGTTTATTAAGTATGTCCATTACAGCACATGGCATATTGAATTATGACAATTCACATTAGACACAACTAGGTCCATTCAATATTAAGTGCTTATGTTATTTGTGCATTGTATCTGTATTCTGATTAGTTATTTGGCAATGAGTCTCAAGTTTTATCGGTTTATATAAGGGTTTACTACTTGTCCAAAGCCTAGTTTTTGCTCCAGCAGCACATATACAAAGGTACCCACTTGGGTATTTACAGATACCTAATTATAACTTGTGTTATCATTCATGTCAATATTATTTATTTGCATTTAATTATATATTAATATTATAATTTAATATATCTGTCATGTGTTGCAGCAGATGTACTAAATATGTCCATCTGGCTGATGATCTTAACTGGGGCTTATTTTAGGGTAGGATTTATATCACAAGTACCATGAAAAATCATGCTACAGCTGGGGATTTAGCTCAGTGGCATAAGCACCTGCCTGGCAAGCTCAAAGTCATGAGTTCAATCCCCAGTACAAAAAAAAATGGTGAGACCAGAAAAATCATACTAGGGTTTTATCTTCCAGTTAGATCTTATTTTTGCAGATTACAGTAGTAGTTCTATTTATTTATTTATTGGTACCTGGAATCAAACTGGGTTCCTCGTGCTTATTAGACAGGTGCTGTGCCACTGAGTTATATCCCCAACCCGTGGTAGTTGCTCTTCATTCTTTGCCCCATACTATGAACTTCTTTCCCTAAGACTTATGTTTGGCTAGCTGCCTAAGGGTCTTTGCTAACCACAAAGTACTGTTTCCTTGTTTTTTTTTTTTTATTTTAAGTTTCAAATATCCTCAGATGTCCCATGACCTACAGAGTTCTGATATTTTTGTATCCTTGTATACACATCTGTCTGGGAGGTGAGGCAAAGGTTTCTTAAGGGAATCTCAGTCCTATGCTGTGTCTGAATCAAAAGGTCCTTTCAGAGCACATCTCCCCACTCTCACAAAGCTGAACTCAGTGTTGGAGTGCCGCTCAGTGGTAGAGTCCTTCTTGGAGTATGCAAGGCCTTGAGTTCTATCCATAGCACTGCCAAAAAAAATCCAAAATGAAACCAACACCTGAGTCCTGTGTTTGACACCCCTTCAGGTGGGAATGAGACTATATAACATCTTTTACAACATTTTATTCAGACATGTTGAGACCATGGCTTAGAGGGGCTCAGATTGAAGAGACATATAGTATTTCTATAGTATCCTGGGTAAGTAAAGGTCTGGAAGAACTTGAGAAGTGACTTTGGCTATTTGAAAAGGTCCTAATAATCTGGCTTGGCTTGGATAAAAGGAAAATGCAAAATGTGGAACCTGATTTAACAAGTATTTGAATGGTTTTCTTTTCCAATTTTAAGTTTCAAGTGTCGTCAGATGTATCACGCTCCTACAGACTGCGCCACAATCCGGAAATGGCTTACGAAGTGTGCAGACGACTCTGAAACGGCCAACTACATTAGTGCTCACACTAAAGATGTAAGGACCGTATCTTACCTGTCATGGATCTGCCCTTCATAGTGCTGTCCAGGCCCCTGCCTTGGAGATTTGCTATCTGAAAGCAAAACACACGGGGCCCCAGAGCCTTTGCTGGCAGCTGTGGACACTCACCCAGACTTGCCAGAGTTTGCAGCAATTTATCATAGGGTGCATTGGGTGCACTTACTATGTTAAAATGCTAACCTACTTGAAAAGTTTGACCGAAAGTAGAATTAGAAGAAACTGATTTTTACTGGACACCTACTAGGCTTTAGAATAGCCTTAGGAAAAGGGAATGGTCATTGATAAATAACAAGGCTGTAATAGCCCAGATCTGCCTAGTTCTTAGTTTGCAGCTTCCCATGGGAAAACATGACCTGTACCCTCGGGGTCACTGGGCCCTTGCTGAGTCCATGCACTCCACAAGCACACCTGCAACCATGACATCATTAAACATTGCCCACTTCATGGCAGTGGGAGTCTCACAATCAAGCTGCCTGGGGTAGCTGGCCTCTCAAATGGAAGCGGGGGGAGGCATTAGAAGTAGTTTCCAGTGTCCTTTTCTGAAAACAGAAGTCCAGGTATCCTGACCAAGACTCAGTTTCATGTGTTGGTTCTTAGACTTCTTTAGCAGTCTTTCCCAGCAGGCAGGCTTTCTGCTGACTCAGCCTGAACTCAGTCTTGAGTGGCTTCGTGGCAGGGACAGATGATGGAAGATGTAGTGGGGCTCAGCTGTTCTTGAATTGTTTCAAAGTCAAACATGCTGAACTCATTTCCTTGAATTGCTGTTCCAGCCTCAGCGACCTGCTACATTTAAGTGAGATGTTCCTCCCCAGACGGGCTTGCACGATGAGCTACTGGGCACTGATGCCAGGAGCTTTGTGTAATTTGTCTTAAAACCGGCCTGATGGTGTGTGAGCCTAATGGCGCCCTTCTGTCTCCTCAGTGTCCCAAGTGCAACATCTGCATTGAGAAGAATGGAGGCTGCAATCACATGGTGAGCAGAAGCCTATACACTTTGCATGTGTGACATGGAGCCTTTGGTCAGCGTTCCCTTAATGTGTTCTCTTCTGTTTCCCTCTGACAGCAATGCTCCAAATGTAAACACGGTGAGTCCCAGGCCTGGCGCCTAAGGCCCAGTGGCACGGTCTGTGTATCTTGTGCTTGGGTCTCCATGGCTTGTTCAGTGAGTTCTTTTGTAGTGAAATGACAAAGGTGAGCCTGAGTCACTTTATAGTTGTTATAGCTGACTTAAAGCAGCTCTTGATTTTATTTTGTATTTTTTGGTCCCTTTTATAATCTGTCATCTTGCTGACATATATAATCAGAAGTCAAGTTTGGAGTGACCTTCATGGTGCTTGGTCATCCAAGAGGATTTTAGTGTGTCCTTATTCTTTTCGTAAAGCCAGGTAAATAGGGGCTTATCTGTGCTACTTTATTGACAGCCTTTTAGAGCAAGTATACATGGGCTTAGCAGAAGTAGTAAAACCATATTTTTTTATACTAGAGGAATTTCCAGGCAGTTTTTCATTTGTTCCTTTCTCTGTCCTTTATATGTGTGGAACAGTTTACATAGCTAGGACACATTGATTTTGTTTTCCTTCCTGTCAGATCAAATGAAGCAACAAAATTAATTCAAGTTAGAGGATCTATATCCTTTTTGTTTGGGGGCGGGGGTTGGTGGTCTCTTTCTTTTGTTTGTTTTGTTTAGCTTTTTTTTCTTTTGAGACAGGCTCTTGCTAAGTAGTCCAGACTGACCTTGAACTCTCTGTGTAGCCCCCACTGGCTTTGAACTCTCAGCAATCCTTTTGCCTCAGCTTCCCAAGTGCTGGGATTACAGGTGTACACCACTACACCCAGTTACATAACTGCTTTAATTGCAAACAAGAGATGCTGACAGTTTCTATTTGTAAAGACTCATACAGATGCTATTTCCCAGAGCCCTCTGGAATCAGAATCCATATGGAATGGTCCTAGACAGGAATTGTGACTCTCATAATACAGACTGAAGATAGGCTGGGGGTAGTGACATATTTCCTTGGTGGGGTAGCTCTCTTTCACTTTCTCTCCATGGCAGGGTAGGGGAATAGTATATCACACACACACAATAGTACATTGGGCATAATGCAGTTTAAAGAATGGTCATGGTGGTCATGGTGACTTGTGCCTGTAGTCCTAGATACTTAAGGAAGCTGAAGGACCATCTGTTGGCACAGGAAGTCAAGGCCAGACCACACAACAGAGTGAGACCTGTCTCTGAGGGAAAAACAAAGGCCAGGCATGATGGTACACATCTGTAATAGCAGCTACCTGGGAGGCTGAGCCAGGATTTGTGAGTTTGAGTCCAACCTAGGCAATTTAGTGACTTAGCAAGATCATGGTATAAAAAGAGCTAAGTATGAAGCTCAGTGTGAAGGACCTAGGTTCAGTTCTTAGTATTCAAAAACCAATGAGAGAACCAGTACTCCACTTACCTTATTCCTTATGCCTGAGAAGCTCCCCATATGCCTTTCCTCAATAACAGTCTTCCCGTCTTTTAGCACCCAGAGTTAGTTTGTTTTTGTTTTCATTTTTTGAGGCAGTCTCCCTATGTAGTTCAGGCTATCCTTGAACTCACTTAGCCTAGTGGGCTTGAATTTAAAATGATCCTCTCCCTGCCTCAGCCTCCCAATGCTGGGATTATAGGTATATGCCACCACGCCCAGCCAACACCCAGAGTTAGTTACCCTCTCTTGCTTATTTGAGCAAGTGTGAGCAATGTATTGGTCTTTAAAATAGGAGCGAGCAAGCTGGATGTGGTAGTGCAGGCTGTAATCCCAGCAACTCTTGAAGGCTAAGGAAGGAACACTGTACAAATTCAAGCCTAGTTTGGGCAATTTACACACAAGACTTTCTCAGAATAAAAAATAAAAGGCTGATGTGCAGCTCAGAAAAAGAAAAGACCAAGTGTAATGTAGGTGATTAGAAAGAGGACAGACGGTGTTACCACTGTGAGATGAATGCTTCTAGGAGAAGAGAAGCTGAATGACATCTAGGTCTTTGGGTCTTAGCTGTTTTGGTCAAACAACTGACAGGTCAGGTCTGTCAGGTGCAGACTTCTGAGGATTAGAGAGACCCTGCCTCTGAAGGGTTGAGGGGTTTAGCACTGTACAGCCCAGCCATGCATGCTGCTTTTTTTTTTTTTTTTTTTTGTCTTTTTCGTTTTTATGGGTACCAGGGACCGAACTCACGACTGCTTGCTTGCAAGACAGGTGCTTATGCCGCTGAGCTAAATCCCCAGCCCTGCATGCTGCTTTTGTATGTCCACATGTGCCTATGTTGAGTCTGATGAGAGCCCAGCCCTCTGCTGGATGTCCAGGAGATTTCTAAGAAGAGTTCAGTTAGGTGACCCCTCTGGAACTGTATCTGTTTATCCAAGAACTGCCTGACCCCTCTGCATTAGACTAAATAGCTGATGTATATCATCCTGCCCGGATTTTTCCTCACGATGGAAGCAGAGTCATAATTCTGATGACGAGCTGTTTTTATATGCAGTTTTATAGAAATGTGTGCTTTTGTTATTGTTTTTTTTTTTTGTGCATTTGTGACAGGGTCTTACTATATAGTTCTGGCTGGTGTTGAACTCATTATATAGCCCAGGGTGGCTTCAAACTTGTGGTGATCCTTCTGCTTCAGCCTCCATGTTCTTCACAAAAAAGAAGGATATGCCTTTTTTCTCAGCTTTTAAAATATAATTCTTGGGGCTGGAGGTTTAGCTCAGCGGCATAAGCACCTGCCTTGCAAGCAGGCGGTTGTGAGTTCAATCCCCGGTACCGATAATAATGAAAAAAGACCAAAATAAAGAAATAAATAAATAAAATAAAATACAATTCTTGAGGGTCGGGAATTTAGCTCAGTGGCATAAGCCCCTGCCTGGCAAGTGCAAGGTTGTGAGTTCAACCCCTGGTACCAAGAATAATAATAATAATAATAAAATTCTTCCTAGAAAAAGCAAAGCTTGTGAGGGTGGGGGAGGTATCAGGAGGCAATTTTATAGGTGATGTGTTCTAGATAACTAGGTGGGGCTCATTTGGACAAGTTTCTGCTTGTCATCAAGGCATTCATAACAGACTAGTAACCTTGTATGATTAGTATCTGTGTTGAATTTGTAAGGCACACAACACATGGAATGGGGAGTATCTATAGATCATTGTCCGCCAAGACAGGCTAAAGGGATAGTTCCGTGTGACAGGGATGAACTCACACATTTCCTCTGGGAGGGAAAAGGAAGAAACCTTGGGAGGTTCTGGCTAACTGACCCCTAAGAGCAGTAGGCTGTTATACTCCTGCTTTGCCTGTGCATGATGCTGTCTTATACATACAAATGACACCCTCTGTTCTGTGCAGACTTCTGCTGGATGTGTCTAGGTGACTGGAAGACTCATGGCAGCGAGTACTATGAGTGCAGTCGGTACAAGGAAAACCCTGACATTGTCAACCAGAGCCAGCAAGCCCAAGCCAGGGAGGCCCTCAAGAAGTACTTGTTCTACTTTGAACGGGTAGGTGTTCTGCCTCCCTGCAGTATAGCTTTTTTCTCTTGCTGACCTGCTGAGGTAAAGTAACAGGGTAACTGGTGGCCAGAACCAACTTGTGCACATGAAAGACAGTGAATGGAGCTCCTGCTGCTGCTGCAGCCCTGGGTACTGTTTCTGTAGATCTGCTCTCAGGCTGCAAGGCAGTTACAATTGATGGGAAAGGGCCTGGTGTTCACCTTGGTTGAATGATGGATTGAAGAATAAACAAGGGTTGTCTTTTCCATCAGTTAAAGAAGTCTGTGCAACCTATCTATCCTGAACTCCTGGGTAGATATCTGTCCCTTCACAGAATGCCTGTACTTTTATCCTTCCTTCTCGGCTTTGTAGTGGGAAAACCACAACAAAAGTTTGCAACTAGAGGCCCAGACATACCAGCGGATTCATGAGAAGATTCAGGAGAGGGTCATGAACAATTTGGGAACTTGGATCGACTGGCAGTACCTACAGAATGCTGCCAAGCTCTTGGCTAAGGTATCTGCCACCTCACCCTTTGATCCTCAGTCCCAGGCTGGGCCCTGTCAGATGCAGACTTCTGAGAGTGAGAGATACCCTCCCTGCCTCTGAAGGATTGGGGGACCCATAGAGCACAGCCATGCATGCCTCTGTTTATGTGTCCACATGTGACAGTGTTGGACCTGCTGAGGACCCAGCCCTTTGTTGGATGTCCAGGCGGTTTCTAAAAAGACCTTCATTGTTTCTGTCTGCTGGGACTTTTCTTCTTTTTCTCCTCTCTGCATCCTCAGAGGAAAATGAGAGATTGTTTTTGGATAAGAATTAAAATAGATGTGTAGACTCTTGATGTCCTCAAAAGGGCAAAGTCATAAAGTTACTGCTGGTAATAAATGTTTTAAAAAGGAACTAAAGTATGAATTATGAAAGATACATGTTAAATGTAGGTTGGTTAGAATCACAGACACTATCCCTTTATTCTCTCCTGTTGCAGTGTCGATACACCCTGCAGTATACCTACCCATATGCATACTACATGGAATCTGGCCCCAGGAAGAAGCTGGTAAGGCAAAGCAATCCTCCATTGTGTTTTGTATCTTCAGAGGTACCCTTGTCTATTACCACTTTTCAGGAGAGCAGGAACTGTCCCTGGTCATTGGGAGGGCAAAAATCAAAACTATCGAGCAAGGTATAATGTAATATACCTGTAATCCAAGCTCTGGGAACCCAGAGCCAGGATTACTAGTTAAACACCAGCCTGGACAATTTAACGAGATTGTGTCTCAAAAAGGGTCAAGGGTGTAGATCATTTTAGTTCAGTGGTATAGTACTTGCCTAGCTCATGTGAGGCCATAGGTCCAGTTTCCAATACTGCAAAAAAGGAAAAGGGCCTAATTGCTAATTTCTGTTTCTACTCTGGGCATCTCCAAAATACATCTCAAGTACTGTCATTTTGTTTCATGGGAGGCAGATTCACCTCAGCCCCTGAACAGGGATGTTTAAAGCACAGTTGGTTGAAAAGACTTTGGCCACTTGGAAGGCCAGTGTCCATAGTTGGGAGTGTTTTGAGTATGCATGGCCCTGTGTTACAGTTAATGTTTTCTCCACCCCACACCACCTCCAGTACTAGGGATTAAACCCATTGCCTTCAGAATAAGCTACAGCCTCAGGTCCCCCCCTCCTTTTTTTAAATTTTTAATTTGAGACAGGTTCTCCTTAAGTTACACAGACTAGACTCAAAGTTATCTTTATGCCTTGACTCCCAGGGTTTATGGGATTACAGGTATGTGGCACTGTACTTCAATATGGTTAACTTTTTTATCCCTTTAATTCTTCAGTGTAGGTATGGGTTATTTCCTGCTGATTTTAAAGTAATTCACATTTACCGTTTAGATGTTGGGAAATACAGAAAAACATTTACATCACCCATAATCCCACCAGAAGGAAATAACCACTGTTAGCATTCTCCAGACTTTTCTTTTTGTTTGCTTTGTGCAGAGGACCAACTGGATGATTCCCCTTGAAAGAAGCTCAGTTACCTCCATTTTGGCTAAATCTGGCCCTGTTTCTAGGTACTGACATGTACAGAGCTATCTAGGATTTTTCCTTATCCTTTCAGTTAGCTTCATACAGTATTAATCTGGCCAGGGTGCTGATGTGTAGTCTTTAAAGCAAAGTGACAAGGCAATTCCCTGCCTTGTCAAGGCAAGGCAAGGTAATTCCCTGCTCCCATAGCTCCCAAAAAACATGTGTGAGACAGATAGAAGGAGATCCAGGGTCCACACTGTCCGCGCAAATCAAGCCTTGAGATAAGAGGCTGTGACTTAACAGGGCATAAAAGATTATACATCAGAGCTAAAGCACCCACCCAGAAATGTTAGATATTACCTCAGTGTACTATGCAGATTAGTCTTTCTGCACATTTTTCTCTCTGCATATTCCAGAAGTAATTTCAGGCCTCCTACTTAGACCAGCTGACAGTACTCACATAACTTCCTACCATTCTCATAGTCACTCATCCTCAAGCCACTGCTTTCTTCACAAATTAATAAAACCTGTGTTCAGGATATAGCTCAGCAGTACAAGTGCCTGCCTGGCAAGCAAGAGATCGTAAGTTCAGTCCCGGTACCAAAACATAAAATCCAGGTTTGACCCTGGGTCGAGGACTTTGTTCTGGTGAACCTTCATCCTGACTGGACTTAGAACCCCCGTTGGCCCTCCATAACTATAAATATGTTTTAGTGTCTTTATTCCCATCGTGGGTCACACTACAAGTGGTACATAGGAATTACCTTGCTAAAATTCCAGTAACTTTCTCTTAGGGTTACAAATATAAACTTTCCAAACCACAAAGAAGCCTGAGAAGGGCTCTCTCTAGCTTTGACTTTGGTTTTTTGAGACAGGGTCTTGCTTTGCAGTTCAGGCTGGTCTCCCAACTCTGTGGTGACCCTCCTACCTTAGCTTCCCAAGTCCTGGGATTATAGATTTATACCACCATGCCTGGCCTGGCAATGTTTTCTTCAGTGGCTTTAAATTCTTCTCCCTCCTTTGGTGGCAGACAGCAACTACGACCTTGCCATTTGGCCATGCTCTTTGTGTAGACTTTTGTTTGGGTCTTATTTTCTGACTAGGCATGGGGAACAGTGTGCTCTCTGAGGACAATGTGTAGCGCACGTGAACCTGAGGTGCTGCATATGCCTGTGCATCTACCAGGCTACAGCCACTCTCCTTTTGACCCTCTGTTCCCTCCATACAGTTTGAGTACCAGCAGGCTCAGCTGGAGGCTGAGATCGAAAACCTCTCCTGGAAAGTGGAGCGTGCGGACAGCTATGATAGAGGGGTAAGTGCTTGCTCTTCTCTGGCAGGTAAGAGAGGACTGTGATGGCAGTAAGTGACAGGGCATTGGCATGTACTTTGGAAGCTGCTGCTGATAGAGGTAGGAAGGGCAGTGCTTGGGATTCCTTGCAGCTCCTGGCATGGTACGTGCCTTTTGCCTGCTCCTGTACTGATCCATGTAACCACCCACCTTGCTTTCCTTATATAGGACTTGGAGAACCAGATGCACATAGCAGAGCAGCGAAGGAGAACCCTGCTGAAGGATTTCCATGACACCTAAGTCAGAACACGGATGTGCCGGGGTGAAGATATGGCTGCAAGGTCTCCCGGCTGCCGTACTGCATGCTGCAGGCTCTGCCTTTCACGACCCAGGTTGCAGCCAGGGCCCCACTCCTGAGAGACACTGGCAAAACACCTCTTAGTTGATTTCTGTTTTCTTATCTTTTGCTTTTTGTTTCTACCAGGGTAGAGGCCATGTTCAATTGACCTCTTTTTAAGACTTTAAATTCCCCCTGGATGGTTGTTGGGAGGGAGGGATTTTTTTTTTTTTTTCTGAATGGCTATTAATAGAATTAGATCATTACAACTTATGTAATTTTCAAAGGCAAACCATAGGATAACATGGCACCCTTTTTAAAAATAAATTGGCATTGGAGTGTTTTCACCTCTAGCTATTTTATTTAGAATGTAACATACACTGCCTGCTCACCCTGCCTCAGAATGTCTGTACTGCCATGGACCTCAGGGTGGCCTCTGCTCTCCAGCTTTACATGTTTGGCCACAGCTGGAGTCTCAAAAGAAGAGCATGGGTAGCAAGTGGTGGGGGCTGAGCTGGCCTGTGTAACAGGTGTGGGGCACAGGGAATCACATTGTGCCGCCTGCCTTTCCTCGGCAATAAAGAGACAGAACAGAGTCTTCTTCCTGTGGGCTCATTTTTGTTCTTGAAAGTAAGGTTCCCTGAGTCTGGCTATTGAGGCCAGGACTTTACCAGTAGATTATAGGTGGATTTGTGGCCCTCCACACTTCAGGACAGTGGTTCAGTGTGGTGCTTCCTTTTGTCTCCTCAAGATAGACATCCACTTGTGAAAGGAATTATTGCCCAAAGTAAATTTGCTCTACCTTTATCCCTCCTTTTGTGCCAGTATTCAAGTGGTGTAACTCTGATGAGGCCCATGGGCAGCCCTCCTGACACTGTCTTGTTGCACTCATAAATACCAGGCAGAGTTCAACGTGGACCTCCTAAGGGCATTGGCCTTTCCGACCCAGGGCCAAGGTTTGCACAAAGTTGTTTTTTGTTATAAGTAGGAGGTCCAGCAGCAGGGGTCTAGGGTGTGCCCCCTTTTTCCTAATTCTACCTGCTTGACCATCTGGGAATCAGGCCAGATTACTTTGTGGTCTTAGTTCCTGTACTAGTAGGGACTGGCTGGAGAAAGGACTAAGTTTTTTGTTTTTGTTTTTTGTCTTTCTGAGACAGATTTTTGCTATGCAGTTCAGGGTGGCTTCAAATTCATGATGATCATCCTGCCACAGCCTCCTGAGTGCTGGGGTTATAGGCCTACACCACCACCCCCAATTTTGTACAGTCAAGTACAGGGGAGTAGGTAATTTACTTGATGTCCCATCTGTCTTGAACCAGGTCCTGTGAGCCTTTCAACAGTTTGATCTGTGAATTCTGGGGTTTCTGTGGCTTTGTGTAGCGCCTCCACGCCAAGGTTGACCGAATGGTATACTTGACAGGGCTCCATGGCCTCATGGAGAGCCTATAGGGAAATGTTACTATTACAGTTGGAGTTCTATGATACTCTAACATTTTCACTTCCAGTCAACAGTCTGGGTACCATGTAAGATGTAATACTGAATTATTCTTGAAGACAGCTGTAACTCACAAGATACATGCTGATTGCAGGCTTCCTTTGTTCCCCTCAGGCTTTGTCTCTTCATGTAGTCCTCAGCGAGGGAAGAATGTGGGGTGGATGGGAGAGCAAGTTCAGGATCTGGCAAATGAACCTAGCATGGGGCACTGGAGAGCTAATTGTGAGCAGAAAGCCCCTGCTTCGGGGCCCTGGGCTGGTGCTTGTATGCACATGGACTATCCTGACACCCAGAGCCTGTACCCCTTCATGGAGTCCTTCCTGTGGCGTCACCACAGTCCAGCTCTGCACTTTGACCCACATCTCGGGTATTTCTGGACTGTACAGTTGCCATCTTCTGTACTGACATCCAGCTGTGACCCTGGTCACGGGAGCTGCCAGTGGTGGTTCTGTATCTAGACTGTTTCCTGTAGTGCTTGACCTGTGGAGAGCTTCCTTCTGTGCCTCAGTGGCTGTCCTTTGTTAACATCAGGAAGATGGGAAAGGTCAGGCACAGTTTTTTTTGCCCTGCAAAGGGTAGAAGAGAGACAGTGTTTTAATGAATTTATCGTATCTGTTTTTCTTCAGAGAAAAGGTTGAAGAAATGTCATTGCTCAAAGTTGAGTGGTTTATTCAAAATAAACGAAAGTTTCTGATTATAAAAATATGTGTGGAGTGTTTCTTTAAAGGATCTTTAGCCCTCAGGGCCCCTTGCAGGTCTGGCCATTGAGCACCAGATGAAGGCCTTGCTGTCACTCACCTCCTTATCTACTGGCTGCACTCAGCTCTGCTGCTTTCCTGGTTGTGTGGGGAGCACTTGTATATAGTAAGTAGTGTTTCATCTCTCCTTGGGTACAGACTCACAGGCAGACCTCTGGGATCCTATGAAACACGTGGAAACATGACAGGTGGGATCCTGGCTGTGGAGGCTCTGAGGGTTATAACACAACTTAGGATAGAAACTGAAATGATTGTGTATATGTGTTTGGTTTTCTGGTGGTGTCAATCAGTAGTAACTAGAGAGACATTTAATGCAAGACATACAAATACTTACGAAATTACAACACTGGCTTTCAGCAGCCACCCAGGGAATCAGTATGGAACAGTATGGCAGGGCTGCCTGCACTCGGAGGGTCTGAAGGTGCAGTCAAACACTTGCAGCTAGCATAGTGTCCGGGCAAGTCAGGAGCTAAAGGGTGGGTGCTAGACGCTGGAGCGTCTGCACTAGAAGCCAGGAGATGGCATCCGAGGTAAAGAAAAGACAAGCTCCTCCAAAGAAAGCAGAAGTGAGCCACCTTTCATTTTTATATCATTCTGGCAGTCACTACCTGTTGGGGACCTTTGGGTTGAAAAACTTCCCCACTCCATTATATATTTTGTGACAGAATCTCGTTTTCTCACCTAAATCCTCACCCAGCCTAGCTAGGTTTGAACTTCCAATCCTCCCACCTCAGCCTCTCAAAGTGCTAGATAACAGGCATGTCAAAATACTAGCTAGAAACAAGTATTTGGAGTCCAGTCCCAATGCTGAAGAGCAGGAATCAGGTCTTGGGTTCTGTGTGGGGGAATGTGGTTCTAGCTGCAGTGGGGGAAGTGAGGGGCTGCATACCTTCTTGTTTGACTTCACCACAGTGGTAGGTACAGTAGTAAAGACCTAAGATACCAGTATTCTGGGAGGCTGAGACAAGTGATTCCAAGTTTGAGGCCCCCCTGGATTACACAACAAGACCCTGTCTCAAAAAACGTAAATACAGGGGCTGGGGATTTAGCTCAGTGGCATAAGCACCTGCCTTGCTAGCAGGCGGTTGTGAGTTCGATCCCCGGTACCGATAAAAATGAAAAAGACAAAAAAAAAAAAAAAAAAAAACGTGAATACGCTACAGCTGCTTCTCTTTGGGCCTCAGGTATACCCAGTGCCATGGTCAGCAGCTGAGTGTACACAGTGATCTGCAAACAGACACATGGCTCTACCCTCAAGCCTCAGTCTGAGGACCCAGAGAATTGGTCACTAATCTTTCTATGGGGCAACAAGGGCCACCCAAGCAGTCACCCTTGGCAGTTCGCCAGGCAAGCAGAGTACCTTGGTCCAAGGTCCAAATGGGACCATACCTGTGGTGATTCTCAGACCAAGAGGAGACAGCACACAATGGAAAGCCTAGAGGAAGGACTGCCCACATAGTCCCACCACCACCCAAGCACCAAGTGTATGCTGGGCCCTCTTTTGCCTACTGGGTACCAGTATCAATAAGCCAGGCCAGTCTCTTCCTTGATGGGATACTGTTGTGTCCACAGCACAGCTGTTTAAAATGAGAAACAGCATAGTGATGTAAACTAGTCCCAGGCACTTGGGAGGCTGAAGCAAGAGGAGCTCTTGTGCACAGAAATTTAGGGATAGTTGGGCAGTATAGCAAGACCTCATCTCAACCAGCTGTAGTTGGGCTGTAATCCCAGGACTTGGGAAGTTGAGGCAGGAGGATCACTGAATTCAAGGCCAGCCTGAACTGTAAAGCCAAGACCTTGCCTTAAAGAAAAAAAAAAAAAAAAAAAAAAAAAAGCCCAAGGGCAATACTTGTCAGCAATGACCAACAAATAAGTAAATAAAGTTTGCTTCTAAAAACTAGAAAGGAGGTTGATTTTTTGCAGTACAGATTAGAACATATTTGTACAAGGATACACATTTGGCAGTGTATATCCATCATGATGGAAACTGCTTTGCACCTAAGTGGCCAGAGATTCTAAGAGGTCAAGAAGTTCTGGTTTATACTGCTGCAGAATTCCTACAGCCACCAGCAGGTGAGTGAGAAATGGGAGAGGCAGGCCCCTGGAAGCTTGCTTGTCAAAGGTAAATCAGCAGAGAAGCCCCTGTGTGTAGCAGCAGGTATAATTCAGCTGAATACAGGAATAAGTTTAGCTTATTTTGTAGTGAACTAATTACAGTTTTGTAAAAGACTAGAGGAAAGTATTTACATTTATTCATTGGTACCCAAAAACCAAGAGGTTGTTGGTAAAATTCTGATTCTATTGGATGGTATTTATCAGCATTGAGACTTGGACAGTTTTTGGAAATTTTGCATTGTTTCTCTTGTACTAAGAAATTGGATCTGGAGCTGGGCATGGTGGCTCACACCTGTGATCCCAGTACTTGGGAGGCTGAGGCAGGAGGATCGTTGTGAGTTCCAGGCCAGCCTAGGCTATAAAGGCCAGCCTGAACTGCATAGAGAGACCCTGTCTCAAAAACACACACACACACAAAAAGAAATTGAACCTGGATGTGGTGGTGCAAGACAGGTTCAAGGCCAGTCTGGACTACATGGTAAGACCCTAAAAATGAAAGTTGAGACTTATGACTGACCTAGGGTGAATTAAAGACAAGTTGCACACATTCCTGCATCCCAGCACTCTGGGGAGGCTGAGGCAGGAAGATCATAAGTTTGAATGCAGCCTGTAAAATTTAGTAGCCCCTGTCAAAAAATAAAAGGGGATGTAGCTCAGGACAAAGACCCTAAATTTACCCCCTGGTATAGGAATGGGGTGGGAAGGGGCAGTTACAGGAAATTTGAACAATCTTAAACTGGTAATAGGTTTATCTATTTGAATCAATTACATTTTTTAGAATTCATTTGAAGAAAAAAAATTCATTTGAAGGGGAAGAGATCAGGTCCTTTACCCCTGCATTCAGGCCTGCCTGGTGTTGTACACACTTGCAAATTGAGGCTCCCACTGCACCTCGTGGTAGTGGTGGTTGGTTAACTTCCCAGCACTGACAAGTCATAACAGCTCCCAGTACTCTCTGCTTCCTTTTGTCCCAGAAAAGTTAGATACTCTCCTTTTGTGGGACAAGAAGATCAATGAAGTGGTTCCTGTGGGGGCTTGGTAGGTGGATACGGTACTGGGGTTTCAGGGCAAAAAGTCCTGTTTATATAGGGGTCCAACAGACCAAGTGCTGCTACTTATCCCAAAATGCCAGGTGAGGCTGGTGGTAAAAGTCAAGGAAAGAGCTTCAATCAGCATGACCATGCTGGGGGGACACAGATTCCAAATCTATTTGGCAGAAACCCTGAAGTTTTATAGAAAAGGGAAGAGGGGCTGGAGATTTAGCTCAGCGGCATAAGTACCTGCCTTGCAAGCAGGCAGTCGTGAGTTGGATTCCCGGTACCAATAAAAAAAAAGAAAAAAGAAAAAAAAACTCTAGAAAAGGGAAGTAAGGGCTGGGGAGTTAGCTCAGCGGCATAAGCGCCTGCTCCTTCAGGTGCCAGGTGCAAGCTCATGAGTTCAATCCCTGGAACAAAAAAACAAACAAAAAAAAAAACTGGGAAGCAACCCCAAGAGATGACAGACGATAGCTCTGACTTTCCCAACATGGTATAATCAAACTTCATCATGGGGAAAATATGTAAGACTGCTGCTCCTGGGGTCAAAGATGACTGAGGGTTTAAGACAATGACTAGACATTTAGAAGCACCATGCTCCACAGGGTATGGAATAGGATGCTATAGAAAGCTGGCAACTGGGTGTCCCTACAAATCCCGAAAATGAGCTATACTTATCTTGGTGTCTTAGGTATTGAAGTAGGATAAGATAAGCTAGGTAAAATTAGGGCTAATATACCTTGTAATACAGATACTCAAGTCGGTAACATCCCTACATGCAAAGCTGAGCTAAGATCTGAACCAGTGTATGTTTACTTGTTTGAGACAGGGTCTCACTATGTAAAGAAGGCTGGCCTTGAACTCACAATGTATCCAATGCTGGCCTTGAACTCAAAGAGATCCTCCTGCCTCAGCCTCCCAACTACTGGCATTATGGGCCTGACTCAAGAGTTTTAAGGTAATAAAGGAGACATAAAATGTAGCCAAAGTGCCCCAGATTCACCCTGCTTTTAACTATTCATTGGCATCTGGAGGCCCAGCTTGCTTCTGAAACAGATGAAGAAGGAGGCAGGCCTGCCCAAGGAGACTGGAAAATGCAGCAGCCATGGTATTACCCCTGAGAATAACCCAGTCCTACACCTGCAGAAAGCATGTAGCAGTGGCTTGGCCACTGGTTTGTCCTCCTTCCCAATTTGGTGGTCATCTGAGTTTGCTTTGAGAGAGTGACGTCTCAAATGTGGAAGCGCCCTTTCCTCTCGCTCCCAAGTACACTGCACCCTGAGCACCCGCTATTTTCCTGCAGGTGACTGCCAGGGAGTTCATCTCCCGGATTCAAGGGCTCTTCTACCGCCCCAACTGGGGTCCCGCCGCCTATGCAACGCCCAGCGCACAGTAAGCAGCGTCTTGCAAGGGGCGGACTCTGGCAGGATACCCGGGGAGGCGCGCGCCGCCCGCGGAACAGACTGGCCTCGCAAGCCCGCAGGAAGGTGGTGGAAGCTGCAGCGCCGCACCGCCACTGCGTACACTCGGCCGCCGCACTGAGTCATCGCGTGGCGTCGCCGCGGGCCGGCCGCGGCACCCGCCCGCGCTCGCTCCCAGACTCTGCGCCGCGGCTAGGCGGCTGCAGGTATCTCAGCTGGGGCAGCGGCTACCAGCGGTGCAGCCCTGACGGTGCTGTCCTGTCTGGTCTCCACGTAGGTAGGGGTGCTGTCTGCCTGCAAGAGCACAGCTACGTCCCCACACACACACCGGCTCGGGAGGACAGTCCCAGCGGGCCGGTCCGAGGCGCCGGTAGAAAGCCGGCCTCCCGGCCCGGTGCGCGCCCGGGCCTGTCCCAGCTGCTGCGCAGCGCGGCCCCGCCACCCCTCCCCCGGGCGCGCGACCTGAGCGCCATGGCGGCTGCAGCCACCGTCCCGCGGCCCGGAGCTGGGGAAGCCGTGGAGGCCGCGAGTCCGCAGTGGGCGACCCCTGAACCCCGCGGGGTTGCGGTGGGAGCCGGGCCAGGCGACGACGATGGCGACGACGACTCGACGGTGCGGCCGCTGTGCAAGCCCCGCGGCATCTGCTCGCGCGCCTACTTCCTTGTGCTGATGGTATTCGTGCACCTGTACCTGGGCAACGTGCTGGCGCTGCTGCTGTTCGTGCACTACAGCAACGGCGACGAGAGCACCGAGCCCGGAGCTCCGCGCCGACCACCAGGCCCGCTGTCCGTCCCGACCTTGGGCCCTCTCACCCGGCTGGAGGGTATCAAGGTGAGGATCCCCGTCTCGCCCCCGCGTCCCGCGTGTGGGCCTCCCGCCGCCGCACCCCGCCAGGGGCCTGAGCTGTGCACCTTTCCCTCAGGTGGGGTACGAGCGCAAAGCACAGCTGGTTAACGGCAAGGAGCACATCATTCGAACCCTGAGCCTCAAGCCTCTACTCTTCGGTAAGGTCTATACCTCCCCACCCCCGCTCCGCCCGTGCCTCGGAAGAGGCCCAAGGGCCAAGGGCTGCGGTGGCCCCCAGAGGTCCCCCTGTACATCATGCTTTCTGTTTTGAGGATGGCTGCTTCAAAGTAGCCTGCCTTCACCAAAACAGGGTAACAGGGCAATCTTCACACAGGCCTGTCTCACAGCCATCACCCCTGCAGCACACTTCCATATAGGGCCTCACAGTGCAATGCTGAGTGTACATTGAAATTGTTTTTGGACATTTCATGCCAGCACTAATTCTGTCACCTTACAGAATAGGGGCAAATTAGGTGACACAACCAGGTCGCAGCTCGTATCAGGCTTCTAGGAGAAATCACACTCCCTTTTTAAAATTGTATTTTATATTAATATTTTTATTTTGTTTATTCATTTGGTACTGGAACTCGAACTCAGGATTTCGTGCTTGCCAGGCAGGCACTGTGCCACTGAGCTATATCCCCAGCTGTTTATTTTTATTTTGAGAAAGGGTCTCACTAGGTAGTTCAGGCAGGCCTTGAATTCACTGCGTAGCCCAGGCTGGTTTGGAACTCTTAAGTGATCATCCTGGCTCAGCCTCCCAAGTGCTGGGATTATGGGCATGTACCACTGCATCTGATGGGAAATCACACAAAGTAGACTCAGTGATCTATGAAAAACAGACTGTCCAGAAGTGGATATACTGGAATCCCTCTACCACCCCAGAAGTCACCTGGCAGGCCCAACTTCTGCTGCCAAAACTCTAAGATTCTTCTTAGGAGTCTTTGGTTTGTTTTTATGGGGTTTTGGGTGTTTGCCTGCTAGCTTGTTTTTTTTCCCCTGGAGAATTCTGGTTGAATCGCTTGTTTGTTTTTAAGACTATACAATCGGGGCTGGGGATTTAGCTCAGCGGCATAAGCGCCTGCCTTGCAGGCAGGCAGTCGTGAGTTCGATCCCTGGTACCCATAAAAAGGAAAAAGACCCCCCCCCAAAAAAAAGACTATACAATCCAGGCTGGCCTTAAAAATCACTGTTCTCCTACCTCAGCTTCTCAAGTGCTGGGATAACAGATTTGTACCACTGCCCGGCAGAATTTCTCTTTTGATTGGGTGCTGTATGTAGAATCAAAGCGGGGTGACTCCACTTTGTTTTTTTTTGTTTTTTGTCTTTTTCATTTTTATCGGTACCAAGGATCAAACTCACGACCACCTGCTTGCCAGGCAGGTGCTTATGCCGCTGAGCTAAATCCCCAGCCCGGTGACTCCACTTTGAGTTGCAGCATGGCTTATGTTTCCTGAGTTCCTGTTATATGATGGGTTTCATGTGATTATTATTTTTTTACCACACCCTTTCCAGGTGGAAGTTGATCCCACCCTGAGGCCAAGAGGTAACAAAGTGAAGCAGAGAGAGCCGCAGTGGCTTGGCAAGGTTCACATAGTAGTTCACATAGTAGTTCAGTGGGTAGCCAAGGATTAGGGTGCGACGCTTAAAAGTCACAATGATAGAGCCTGCACATAACAGCCACACTGATAGCATCCAAACTGCAATGTTCCCCATAGCCTGCTGGTGTCAACAAGAGGTAGCGGCAGACCACAGACCTTACCATGTTAAATTTGTGCAGCCCAGTCCTAGGTACCTGGTGTCAGTGGCGCATATTTGCAGATCCAGTTAGTCCTAGGCTGTTAGGAGATGGAAATTATAAATTTTAAAAAAGGTTTGGAGGTGAAGATGGGGGCAAAGGTGTAGTTTCGTGGTAGGGTGCTTGCCTAGCATGCATGAGGGCCTGGTTCAATCCCAATTGCTGGGGGGAAACCCAGAAGAATGGAGCTGGGGGGCTGGGGATTTAGCTCAGCGGCATAAGCACCTGCCTTGCAAGCAGGTGATCGTGAGTTCGATCTCCGGTACCAATAAAAAAAAAGAAAAGAATGGAGCTGGGGGTTGGGCAAGCAGAATGTCTGAACGCGTGCTATTATAGTCCCTGGGAGGGGCTGGCTGGGGATTATAGCAAGAACTGTAAGAATGTCACATGCCTGTTGTTTATAGGGAATCAGGTTACACTGCCAGTGCCCCTGTGAAAAGGGTCCTAAAAGATAATGCAGGTTGTTACTGTCACTGGTAAATAACATTAAAGTCTGTACCAGGCCTATTTCAGGTGCTGGAAACACAGCACTGATCACAAAAGAGACATAACCCAATAAAACAAAACTCCAAAGGTGATGTTCAACTATGATAAATAATCCAACAGCCGACTATACATTGGTGCATCCAGTGCTGCTACCTGGTTTGTGCGAAGACTGCAGCAAGTACAGGATCAAAGTGGGTGGCTCAGGGTGGGGTGGCCCAGGCCAAGGAGTGGTCCTCAGCCTATTACTCCAAACTGCTGGAAACAGTCTCACACGGAAGGTTGTGTTTTTTCTGTCCTCCTGGGATCTGTACCTATCTAATTCAAATGTGCATTATGTTACAATAGACACAAGGCCAAAGTCCTTCTAATATTTAGCCGTCCTATAAAGCAGAGAATAGGAAACCCAGATTTGAATGCCTCATGAGTAAATTACAAGAAGCAAAAGAGATTAAACAGTGGATGAACGGGTCCTGGTTAGGCTGTCACATAGGTCCCAATTTCTACAGACAGTTGCAAGGGGATATTAAGAGCTTTGAGAGGCTGGGGATTTAGCTCAGCAGCATAAGTGCCTGCCTTGCAAGCCTGTGGTCGTGAGTTTGATCCCTGGTATCAGTAAAAATACAAAAAAAAAAAAAAAAAAAAAAAAGAGCTTTGGGCTGCTGTAGCTTGAACTTCCTATTTGTGGTTCTTGTTTCATCCAAAACAGTTTAATTACCTTCTCTGGTCAGTTGGTGAAATATGGCACAGTTTTTACCCTAAAAGACCTGGGCTTTGCTTACGTGTTTTGAAATTTCGTTTGAATTATTTTAATTTTGTTTTTTTTCTCCTTGAGTTAACATGGATTTTGGGGTGGAGGAGGTGCTTCTTGTGAAATGATGTGGGGCAAATAAAGAAGAGATCAGAGACCATGAGAAATCCCAGTGTTAGAAAAACCACAGAGGAGTGTTCACATCTAGGCAGCTGTGTAATTGCTGTACTATTAGATTAATCCAGAGAATGCTTTGCTGCTCTTGGCTCCAAACCTGTGACCTTCCAGCTTCAGAGATGCAGGAAGCCAGGGCTGAAGGCAGGATGCCCAAGATGTGGACTGGGACAAAGGGCCCTCCCCACAAGGTGCCCCCTTGTCTGTAGAAGGGGTTCTCACTGCTGCGGGGAAGTTCCAGTATAGCCTCAGCCTTAGGGAGTTTCCTGTCTCCCACCTTTGTTCATAGAGGCAGTGTGGTAAGTAGGTAAGTAGGGCTACAAAAGGCCCCATCTTGAGCTCATGGACACATAGTACTTGCATGGCTGCAGTAGGCATTTCCCAAAACATTCCAAACATTGAGAGTCAACTGAGAACTTAGCCTTGTTCTGATCAGAAGGAAAGTGCTCCATTTCTGGGTCACTGTCACTTCTCTGGGGACACTGGTTTCTTACATGTGACTCACTTCTCCCTCCATTCCACTCTGCCTCACACTCATTTTGTGTTTAAACAGCCAGTCATATCGCTTCTCTTCCTTCTTTAAAAGTCTCCAAACCCCTATCCCATTTTCTTTTTCTTTCTTTTCTTTCCCCATTTTGTTTTATATAGTGCTGGGAATAGGGCCCAGGGCTTTACACCTGCTGGGCAAGTGTAACTGAACTCCATCTCCAGGCCTGCAGACTCTGCACTCACTGCTGGGTCCCACCTGATGCTTCAAAGCCTCTGACGTCTTAGCCCTCATCTCCTGCCACCTAGTCCACATGCCCTGCCTGTGCTCAGCACCAAGCTCGTTGTTCTTCGGAGCCCATATAATGTGTGGTGTTTCCCTCACCAGGTGCCCCAGGCCTGGCTCTTCCACAGCTGGTGGCTTCAGTTCTGTTAGGTGGCTGCTGAGATGCCCCATCCTCAGGGACCTCTCTCCTCAGGCTTGACAGGGTCTCCAGCCTAATGATATCCTTCCTTGCTTATCTTCTCAGCATTTAGCACTGCCAGAAACTATTTCTGTATGCACTTTTGTCCTTTATGCCTCTGTCCCCAAGGTGAGGTGCATTTATAGGAGGGTTATCTGTTGTGGCTGTATGTCCCGGAGCCAGAATTGCGTCTTCTACTGATAATCATTGAATGCCTGGGGAAGGTGTTATGTTCAGCTCATTCCAGCACTAGTCTGCTTGTAGAGTGACCTCTTCCATCACTCTCCTGACTTGGGACCCTCTTCATGTGCAGCAGGGGACATCTTCAGTTAGCAAGTGTTTTAACTTATTTTTCTTAACTATATGAAATAAACGAGTTAATGGCCACTGGTATACAAAACAATGTATTTTAAAATCATGACTGCTTTATTAGGATTTCTGAATATACTCATTTTCAGCTATGCCAGATCACTGTGCCCATGGCAAACACTGGAGGCTCAGAAATAGGGAAATCACTTCTGTGTGTGGATTTGTTCAAGTTTGTTGTTTTTTTTTTGTTTGTTTGTTTGTTTTGTTTTATTGTCGGTACCAGGGATCAAACTCATGACCTCGAGCTTGTAAGGCAGGCGCTTATGCCGCTGAGCTAGATCCCCAGCCCTTTGTTCAAGTTTTTAAGTTCATGAATGCAGTTTCCAGCATCTCCCGCTCCTAACGCTATTGTACACATACCCCTTTCCTTACATGTGCAGTCACTTCACAGAGGCATGGACCCAGCAAAGGTCAGGCCAGTATAATTTAGTCTGGGGCTGGACAGGCAGCATGCTGCCCAAGGTGAGCGCAGCTTGAGGGTGTGTGCCTGCCCTGGGACCTGAGTGCGTGGGCAGCCACAGGGTATTTGCTAGCCTACCATCTCAGGCCAGGGGAAGACAGGAAGGTGGACTTTCCTGTTGGGCATGCCTAGTCGCTAGGGAGCCTAACTCCATGCCCTCCTGGCCAAAGTGAGGAATGGGTTCAGGAAGTAGTGCCACCCTGCTTGCTCTTGGGGCCTCTGCCCTGTGGTCTGCAAATGTCTCAGGATGGAGCTAGGCAACAGGAAAGGTTGTGTGTGTGTCCAGGAGGGCACAAGTGGTTTGTGTGGCCAGTGCAGAGCCCATTGCTGAAAGTCCTAGGCTCTCCTAGGTAGAGTTAGCTTCTCGTCATGGCACTGGTGCTGCGTATAGCAAGCTGCAGATTTCAGTGGCCCTGGCTCTAGGCCTAGACTGTGGTTACAAATAGGTGGCCACCCTGTGTCTTCCCACTTAACATACAGAAAGTCCCTGCCTACCTTCCTTGCAGAGGTTCACGTGCATGTGACATCTAGCTGTACCTTATTGGTGCTTCAAGGTGGAGACCGACTCTGTATCAGGCAGTGGTCCTGTCTTCAGCACTACAGTCCAGGGACAGAAATTGTGCTACTGCCTCAGGAGGGTCCAACCTTCCCTGCTGAATGGGGTCCAAATGGCTGCTGACCAGCCTGGCCTCCAGGAATGCCCCACTAGTGCCCTGCACTGGCTAACTAAACTCCCCTGTTTCATTGTCTGATTCTTGGAATCAGTTTCACGGGGAAGCCATCCTCCGTAGCAGAATTTTTGGCTTGTTTGTTGCATTATTATTATTATTATTATTGTCTTTTTCTTTTTTTTTATCGGTACTGGGGATCGAACTCACGACCACACACTTGCAAGGCAGGCACTTATACCACTAAATCCCCAGCCCCTGTTGCATTATTTTTATAATATATCATTTAGTTTTTTTGTTTCATTTTGTTTTATTTTTTCCTTTGCTTTCTTTCTTTCTTTCTTCCTTTCTTTCTTTCTTTCTTTCTTTCTTTCTTTTTAAAATAATATCCCATGTTTGCAAAAGAATTTATTTTTTTTAGCAGGCACCAAGCATAGCATTTGGAATTCCCTCTTCCATTTCCCCTGTGATACAACATAGATATCATGGCCCACAGAGAAACATCCATGGTGCAAGATGGCTGGCCAGGGGTGGGCCATGCTAGGCTGTGCTGGGAAGATGACCCTGCAGGATGAGGGAACTGATGTGGTAGCTGGAGCCTCTGGTGCTCCTGGCCCAGAACTCTCCCTGGCCCAGAACTCTCCCTGGTTGCTAGGCAATGACACTCTGGTCACGTAGCAACAGCCTTGCAGCCTGGCTTTCCCTGCTTGCACCACATCACAGCGTTCAGCCCTCTTTTCTCCATCTTGTCTTGTGTCCCCAAGTCTCCTCCCTTAACGTAGGCTTTTTTCCAGCATACCTTCCCATCCCCCAGCTCCTGACTATCCAGCATTTGGAGAGGGTGTGGGAGAGCCCTGCACATGCCCCCCACCCACAGGAGAAATCAGGCTCCTCCATTTTGTCCTGAACAGCTTATAGGACATGGTAGTCCCTGGCCAGAGCTGGGGCTGATCCAGAGTACAAGGACTGGTCCTCACATTCTGAATAAGCCCATTCTTACTGCTGCTACTGACAGTTACCCAGAGGCTCTTGCAAAGGCGTTGTTCTGCACAGTGGGAGCTGGGAGAATGTTGTTCACGGGGTAGGTTAACCAGAAGAAAAATGGCCTTGTGACCTCTGGAATCTGGAAGAAATAGCCCTGGGGGACTCAGCTCTCCCTCTTGCCAGCATCTCTGGGCCAAATAAAACTCCTAAGCCTGGCTGAAGCAGCCTGCAACCTGCCTTGCCTTGATATTCAAGAGCTTTGGATATTTGTGGGTACAGACCAAGGCTCCAACTCCTCATGCTCTGCATTTGTGGTCCCTTGATGGTGTCACCTTTGTCCCAGGGGCACCTGCTTCTCTCACCAGAAGCATTCTTCTAAAACAATCCTTCATTTTGTTTTCTGCCCTGTCAGCATCTAGTGCTATTAAGTGCTCCCAGGATTAATAAAGAACTGAGCTGCCCTGGCTCAGGATACTTATCCCCTTCACCTGGGAGCCCCTCCCCTACCAGGCCAAAGAGAGAACAGAGGAAGAGGTGGGCATTGGGGTGGCACTCCCAGGCAAGCAGGGGCAGCCAACAGCCTGATTGGTGGGTAGCCTCTGCTGCTGTGTTGTGGTCAAGCGTGGTGGGCAGTGGTATCTCTGGGTAGCCAGTGTCATGGTATAGTGGCATAGCTTGGGGTGTAGCCATGGACATCACTCCATGGCTTTGTTAGCACTACCAGCAGCCAAGCTTTGTCTCCAGCACCTGATTTCTCTGCCCTGTCCTTGGGAAGTTCAGTGTGAGGGCTTTCTAGGGCAGTACTCAGTTCTGCAGGTGTTTGCATTGTATTGCTGTTAGGTTAGGCCCAACATGCTGGCTATGCTGTTTGCTGTTGGGGATAGAGACAGCATTGTAGCGGGGATAGAGACAGCATTTCCCGTGGGCCTGTGCATTACTGGCATCTAATGAAGAAACCCCTGTTCTCTCTGTCTCCATCTCTTTCTCCCTCTCCCTCTCAATACCTCTCTCTGGCTTTCTGTCTGCTTGCTTCCTTCCCTTTTTAATTAAGCAATCAAGAGGTGACTGCTGATTAGTAGGTTAGTGAAACAGTGCTCCAGTGCTGGGATTACTGGCGTGTGCCACTATGTCTGGCTTTTATTTTTTATTTGAAATGAAATTTCACACAGTTGTTCAGGCTGGCCTAGAATTTGTGATCCTTCTGCCTCAGCCTCCTTAGTAGTGGATTATAAACATGTGCTGATGGCTGGAACTTTATGCTAGTAGAAGTGGCTGACCAGTCTGCAAAGTGCCTCTTCCTCTCACCCTTTTTTTCCTTTTTTTGAGCTTCTTGTCCCCAAGGAAGCCCTCGGAGGAGTAAGGGAAGGAAGTGCCCAGGCTTCTACCCTCAAAGTTCTAGGGCTGCAGAGATGTGGGCATGCCAGGGTCAGGCTTCCATGACAGCTCTGATAAAGTTCACCAGTTGTGGCTGGTCTGTGGGCACCAGCCGCTGGGCCCAGGCTCTAGGCTGTGCCTCTCTTCACTCAGGAGCATGGAGGCCCAGAGTCAGCACTGAATGCCTCACGGTGACTTCCCAGCAGCAGGCAGCTAACTCAGTCCTGGTCACTTGTGCAGGAGAACGGAGAGTAAGGCTGGTTTAAAGCTTAGATATTTCAGCTTTGTTCTTTTCTTTTCTTTTTTTTTTAACCCATTGTGGTAACTGTGGGCCTTTGCACAGCTACATCTCTAACCACTTTTATTTTTTGAGACAGGGTCCCCATAAGTTGCTCAGGCTGTTTGAATTTGCAATCTTGCTGTTTCTAATTCCCAGAGCGCTCGGGTTACACATATTTACTACTATGCCTGGTTTATTCATTTTGATTTGTTGTTTTTGTTTTTTGAGACAGGGTTTCACTGTGTGCCCCAGGCTAGCCTCGAACTCACAGCAACCCTCTGGCTCAGCCTTCTGCCAACATTACAGATGTGCGCCACCACGCCCAGCCTTGTTCACTTTTATTTAAATAGCACTAAAAAGCAAAAATTAGAGCAAGAACCTGCTGCAATCTCCCTACTCTTAAAATTTGTATTCAGAACAAAAGAGGAGACAAACTCTAACCCCAGGTCCACTCTCAGGCCATTAGTATCACCCCAAAGGCAGATTAGCCCATCTCCAGCTTAGCTCCTGGGACCCCCCTGGAAAATGTGTGTTGTCATCATGAAGGGGAGACCCCACATCCCAGCAGGGTCCCTCACCAACCTCAGCAGAGTTCCTCACCTTGACAACAGGCACAGGGCAAATGTCAAGGGTGTGTAAAGTCTTCCAGACCTGGGAGCAACCAAGGAGCACCCCAGAATCCCTGCAGAGAGGAAGGCACTGGGTGGACAGTTCTCCAGTTCAGTGTGGCCTCATCTCCTGGCAGAAATCCCTGGCTTTCTGAGTGACGAGGAGTGCCGGCTCATCATCCATCTGGCGCAGATGAAGGGGCTACAGCGCAGCCAGATCCTGCCCACTGAAGAGTACGAAGATGCCATGAGCACTGTGCAGGTCAGCCAGCTGGACCTCTTCCAGCTGCTGGACCAAAACCACGATGGTCTCCTGCAACTCCGAGAGGTTGGGACCTGGGCCCTGAGTAGGCACAGGGCGAGAGGGCCAATACGTGCCTCTGTGGTGACTTGGCCCTTGATGAGCTCAGCTGTGATCCATGTGGGCAGAGGTGTCTATAGTCCTGTGTGGGCCCGAACCCACCCAAGGAACCCTCTTCTTTTGTAGAGAGCCCCTTGCTCCCCATGGTACCCCAGAGGATGAGAGGAGGAGCCATCAAGGGTGATAGAATTTTATCACCTAGGTTTTTTTGTTACATTTTTCCTCTTTGAGACAGGGTCTCTTTGTAGTTCAGGCTGGCGTTAAAGTCATTGTATAGCACAGGCTGGTCTCTAACTCCTGATGCTCCTTCTGCCTCAGCCTCCTGAGTGCTGGAATTACAGGGGTGTGCCACCATGCCTGGCTGACTAATTTTTGAGTGCTGTTCCTTCTGTGGATTGGATTTCTTGCTACTATGGCTTGGGGGCTCCCCAGAATCCCTGGTGAATGGTGGGTGGGAGCTCTGAGGTAACTGGGATTTCTTTCTGCATGCCCCTCACACCTGGACTTCTTTTTTTTTTGTCTTTTTCCTTTTTATCGGTACCAGGGATCGAACTCATGACTGCCTCCTTTCAAGGCAGGCGCTTATGCCGCTGAGCTAAACCTCAAACCCCAATACCTGGACTTCTAAGAGAAGTCTGGCAGGCATGTCCCAGTGGCCATGTCCTGGCCAGGTCTCCCCAGTGCCCTTTCTGTCCCCTAGGGCACATGAGTGTCATACAGGCCTGTGTTTCTGTCTCCAGCCTGCCGTACATCTGAAGTCCTGGGCTGAGAAAGCCAGTGGCTTCCAGGCTTCTTACCCTTTACTGGCCAGCTCCTCAGAGGCCTCTGTACCTCCTTGTCATCTTTCCTTTCAGCTTGGAATCTTAGGCTCTGTTTGGTTTTTTCACCTGTGTCTTATCACTGGAACCCTTAGCTCCACACCTCAAATTGGGCTGTGTACGCTCTGGTGGCTCTTTCCTGGGCTCACCCTAATGAGGGACCCTCTTGTGCTTTAGGTCTTGGCCCAGACTCGCCTGGGAAATGGACGGTGGATGACTCCGGAGAACATTCAGGAGATGTACTCCGCAATAAAGGCAGACCCCAATGGTGATGGTGAGCTCACACCCCTCCATGGTGCTGTCCCTTGAGCCACCTCCAGTCCCAGCTGAACAGTCTTAAAAGCTGGAGCCCTTCCCCACAGCTGGCAGCCTCTGTCCCAGCTCCCGTAGTGGCTAGAGGAGAGGGGAGGAGCCAGCTTTGCACTCATCCCTGGGAAGCAAATAGGCAGCCAGACCTCTTACTGTTCTTGACTGCTTGAGAGAATCTAGAATCTGGGACACAGGACATTGGGCTACGCTTAGGCAGAGGACATAGAGCCAGAGTAAGGGGACAGTGAGACCAGCCAGTTTGGACTTGTCTGTTCTCTTTGTTCCATGTACCTTTCAAAGCGGGCACCAGCTGTGCCCCATTATAGCCTCCCTGCCCTAAACAAGGTCTCCCTGGCCTTCCTCTGGCCCACCTGGAATCTTGCTGAAGTATCAAAGTGCTCTTGTGTTAGTAACTGTTGGGTGGAGATGTGGGCCAGGGGAGAAGTCATACAAGGGTCTCCCCTCTGGTAATTACCTTTAAGAAGTTTCTGGAACTAGGCATGGTGCTACATACGTCATCCCACCACTTGGGAGGTTGAGGCAAGAGGATTTAATACAAGTTCTAGGCCAGCCTGGAATACATAAGCAAGACCCTATGCCCTTCTCCCACAAAATGAAGACTAAGAAAGAAAAAGGGTTTCTGTAGTGTAGTCCTCACCTTTGTGTCCAAGTTCTGGACCAGCAGAAGAAGAGACAGAAGCCAAACAGGACTAGGAAGCATGGGGTAAGACTGGTGAACCCAGAGTGCAAAATTAGGAGGCTGGGCTTATAGCTTGGGAGCTGTCATACTGCCCTCAGCACAGAGCTGGGGTCAGATTCACACCCCTTACAGGGCCCTCACCCTCACAAGGCAGGAGAGTAGGAGAGGTCTCTGTCAGATTAGAAAATCTCAAAGGCCACTGCCGTTCCACAGCCCTGAGGTGGAGCCCTGCTCTGGTTTGTGCAGGAGGGGAGGTTCCCACTGGGGCAGGTACCTGGCTTTCTCTCCGAAGGTGAGCTGGTGACCTAGCAAGGGACTGGCCATGAGGTTGTGAGGGAGACTCTGGGACAGGCCTTGCTTGTATCCTATGGTGCAGAAGGCCCTGGTGGAGACCCAGCCCCAGCTTTGTGCTTTCCTCTGCAGGTTGGCATGTGTCTATCACACTCTGGTGCCTGCAGAGGTCTGGGGTCACCCACAGCCCAGCTTGGCCAAATGCTTGTGCTTCCTTTGGAGGCTCTGCTGTGGCACTCTAGTAGGGGTTGGGCTTCTTCCTTTTGGGGACCAAATTAAGGCTTAAATTGAGAAAATGAACTTCTCTGGGTCTTCCCTTAGGGCCCGATGTGACAGAAACCAGGTTCATCTGACCCAAGAGTCCAGGTGGGGACAAGTGCACATGGTCCCCCAGGGCCTGAGGCCAGGGGCTGCTGCCGCCTTTGGGGTAGGTAGGGAGGTGGTGCCTGCCACTGTGGTCTCCCCACTTTGGGTTGGCAGCCACTGATGATAGTGCCCTGTGCAGGAGTGCTGAGTCTGCAGGAGTTCTCCAGCATGGATCTTCGGGACTTCCACATGTACATGAGGAGCCACAAGGCGGAGTCCAGTGAGCTGGTGCGCAACAGCCACCACACGTGGCTCTACCAGGGGGAGGGTGCCCACCATGTCATGCGTGCCATCCGCCAGAGGTGAGCAGCCAGGTGGCCATCTTCCTTAGGCAGGGCCTGCACAGAAGTCTTCAGCTGGGGCCAGAAGAACAGAATTCATGAGGGGATTAAGTTCCATTTTTAGAACAAGATGGGGCCACAGAGATTGGCGATTAATGCCAGCAAATTAGTCCTAGTTGAGGGCCAACAGCACACAACTGGGATTAGAAGTAAATCAGGCTTTTGTTTCCTGCTAATTAAAGAAATGAGCTCTTGTCTCTGCCCATAGGATCCCACCCCTGGCCAGCAAGGCTTTTTAAATAAACAAGTTTTGGGAAGAGTCCCAGTGGCCAGCCTCTCAATTTAGTAGAAAACCTCCGGTTGCCACACAGTGGATTTCTCAGTCACTGGTATCCAGAGAGAAATTTCATCATGTATGACCCCTGCCTGTTCTTACAGGGCCAGTCTAAGATGAGCTGAGGGCGTTCAAGGAGGTGGTCAGGGGAGGAGCTCATGGCAGACCTAGGGTCTGCCTTGTCAGCTCCTTTACGACACTGAGTGCCTGCTGCCTTCCAGAGTGCTGCGCCTCACTCGCCTGTCACCTGAGATTGTGGAGTTCAGTGAGCCACTGCAGGTGGTGCGATATGGTGAGGGAGGCCACTACCACGCCCACGTGGACAGCGGGCCTGTGTATCCGGAGACTATCTGCTCCCATACCAAGCTGGTAGCCAATGAGTCTGTACCCTTCGAGACCTCCTGTCGGCAAGTACCTCCCACCTGGGAGCTGGCTTTGATTTCCCAAACAGGTACCCCCATGACAGGCACAGCCTGGCCCCGCGGGTGTGCCCTTTGACACTGGCATGGGGCCCAGAGCACCCTAGACCACCCTGATCAATGATGCCCTAATCTCTCCTCTGAGTTTACTGAGTGGGGGAAAGGGGTGGCTACTGCCCATTGTGCCCATTTGGGTTAACACAGACTGAGATACCCACAGACGCTAAACCTTGTCCCCCTAGTGCTGAAAAAGGCATGAGGCTGGGCCCCTAGCTCCTCCTGTCCCTTCCCCCAGATACTGATCTTGACTCCACTGTTGAGGTCTCAGCTTCACACTCCAAAGTTGTGCCTACCTCCCCTGCCAAGTCCTAAGATTAGGTCCCTTCCTGTAGCTCCTAGAGTCCTTAAGACCTTTTGCATGATATTCCTGATTCTACAGTTTGCCCTACTTGCTAGGGTATTGGTAAGAACCATCTAATTTAACTAAGTGTGATCTTAGCCAAAGACATTGGCACACATAGTCAAAGGCTGGATTTGTGGGCATTGGCCTACCCTGTTGTTATCCATCATCATCTGGCCCTCTGCCCCCTGGGAACCTGGACAGCTTATTCCTCCCTACATGTAAGCCCGGGAATGTGCTCAACTGGACCCTGCTCAGCAGCCCCCCTGTTTTACAGCTACATGACAGTGCTGTTTTATTTGAACAATGTCACCGGTGGGGGCGAGACTGTCTTCCCTGTAGCAGATAACAGAACCTATGATGAAATGGTAAGTGCCAGCTGGGTTGGGGTTGTGGGCTGGCAGGTCCTTGGGCAAACGTACACACCCTTGCACACCTGGGATGAGGACCCCGGTGGTCCACTGGCACACTTGGCTGCCTGTCTACATGCTGGGAGTTGTGGGGAGGCTGGCCTGAAAGCTGTATCACCTTGGCTGTCCACAGAGTCTAATTCAGGATGACGTTGACCTCCGTGACACACGGAGGCATTGTGACAAAGGGAACCTGCGTGTCAAGCCTCGGCAAGGCAAAGCAGTCTTCTGGTACAACTACTTGCCTGATGGGCAAGGTGAGAGTCTATGGCCAGGCCAGGGGTTTCCCTGAGGACAGTTTCCCTTTATCCAGCCCCCATCCACCACCCTGTAGGGCTGTTTCTGGCTGCCTTCCAAATGCTTTCCTACGCTGGGCCTCACTGCTCTTGGCCACCTGAGCACCAGTGCCGCTCCTGGCTTATCTCAACATCTGTCATTCCTTCAACCATACTGCTAACTAGAACTGGTGGCTTATATTCTTTCCCAGCCCAGATGCATTTGGGCAGGCTCAGCAGAAGTGGCTTTAGAAGGCTACCGGTGTTGAACTGCATTAGCTGGTGGGATGCTGAGCCCCCAAAGAAGCCTTGGCAGTGGGTGTTTGCTGCCCAACCTATGTGTGGCTTGAGCCCAACTTTGCCATGTTCTCTGCTGTCTGCAGCCAAGCTCAAGCCAGCTCAGCTGGAGGCTACTCACAACCTATCCTGTGCTCATGCTACACTCTTTTCTAGGTTGGGTGGGCGACGTGGATGACTACTCGTTGCACGGGGGGTGCCTGGTCACACGTGGCACCAAATGGATTGCCAACAACTGGATCAATGTGGATCCCAGCCGGGCACGACAAGCCCTATTCCAGGAGGAGATGGCACGCCTGTCCCGTGAAGGTGGTGCTGACTCACAGCCCGAATGGGCCTTGGACCGAGCCTATCGCAATGCACGCGTGGAGCTCTGAAGGGAAGGTCAGCCCTGGACCACAGCTGGGCTGCCCATCCCCAGGTCATGGGCCTGGTTGTCCCCTTGTCCAGCTCCAAGGTTCTGGCCGATGTTTTGCCCTGCACCTGCCCCATCCGAGATTTCAGCACAGTTCCTGTATTCATGTTATTTATTTATGTACGAACCCATGCTGCTTGGTCAAATAAACCCATGTGGCTTCCAGTTGCCTGGCAGACTAGCTCCTGGCGGGTGGAGGATGGGGAAGGGACTGGCTGGGCTGGCCTGTGTGGCTCCGCCCCCGCGGGTCTCGCCAATCACGAGCCGGGCTACTCTGCGGACGAGCGCCTTCATTGGAAGTCCGCCGCCGGTCTGTCAAGGGCAGGGTTCTCGCAGTTCTCGCGAGAGTGTAGGTGTGCAAGCCGCGCGGAGGCTGCGGGGCAAGAGGATGGACATGGACGCTCTCGGGGACTACGTGTGGCCGCGGGCGACCTCCGAGCTCATACTCCTCCCGGTTACCGGGCTGGAGTGCGTGGGGGACCGGTTGTTAGCGGGTGAGACTTGGTGCGAGGCGTGCTGGCAGGTTGAGCGCCCCAGTAGGTTAGGGCTACCGGGACAAAAGGATGCTGCCGTAGGGGGGCCTGAGGATGGGCCGGGAGACAAAGGTGTGGCCCTCACAGGTTTCCACACTGCAGCCCACGTGGAATGCGTGGGTGGAGTCCTCGGTTTGGGAGAAGGGTGTGAATTCTTGGAGGTGAGGTGGGGAGTGGAGGGGAGGTGTGGGGGTGTGGCCCGCGGGGGCGTGCCAGGGCGGGACATCACCGCAAGGCTTGGGTGTAAAGGGCTTTTAAAGAGGATCGCAAAAAGTTACCTGTAAGACCATTTTGAACAAAGCAGTGTGAGAGCCGGGGGTTGAGGGGTGCTTCGGAGGTCTGGCTGGCTGCAAACGCTTAGGTTCTGCGATGTCAGGATCCTGGGAGGCAGGAGTGGTATGGAGTCCCTTGTGATTGATGATACTGTATTTCATAAGGGTCCCAAGGCCGAGTACAGGCAGTTGGGGCTTGAGCGAGCAATCACTAGCCCCGAGAGGGGCGTGTGCGTGTGATGAGAATAGCCTAGTGTGATCTGCTATGGTCTACACGTACAAGCTTCCTCCAGTGAGCTAGACTCCTAAAGATTGTTGAGGAAAAAAGCTAAGGCAGAAACTCAAAACCAGAGGTGAATTCCTGGCAGAGGGTGGGGTTGTCAAAGGTCTTGAGGCTGGGAGAATTTGTCATTTGGGGCAAAGAATTCTGTTGAGAAGTGGGGGCTGGGAAGAAAAGTAGCTAGAGAAGGAAGCAGAGGCTAGTCTTTTAGACCTTAATATGACCTTATCATTAAGAGCAGTGAAGAGGACTTATTAAAGATTTTTGGGTTTTGCTTTTGTTTAAAAGTCAGATTTTAGGGGGCTGGGGATTTAGCTCAGCGGCATAAGCACCTGCCTTGCAAGCAGGCAGTTGTGAGTTCAATCCCCGGTACTGATTAAATAAATAAATAAAAGTCAGATTTTATTGGTGCATTTTAGATACACATAATGATCACATTCATCATAGAGATGTACTTGATATTGATAACAGAATTCAGGACCAAACCAAATGGAGACACAGCACCAGAGGAACTTTAAAAGGCAGCTTTACTACCCGGGGTAGAACTGCATTAGCTGGTGGGATGCTGAGCCCCCAAAGAAGCCTGGGCAGTGGGTGTTTGCTGCCCAACCCATGTGTGGCCTGTTTCAGTTCCAGTGAAGTTTTCCAATCATTCATATATGTTTCTAAAAGAAAGTCCAAAAGGCAGGTAACATAATAGCCTACAGTTGGTTACACATGTCTTTGTCATCAGTTGCTAGGTGGAATTTACTTTTACAGAAACAGCAACTAAATGAAGTTATTATTACAGCATAGAGAAAGAATCCATCATAGCTTGGGACCAGGTAGAGGCTTCATTGCAGAGATAACTCTCTGGGACTCAGAAGCAAAAAAAAGAAACATTTCTTCCTGGCTGAGCTACACTTATCTGGCAGTTGGCACCCAGCTGTCAAAGCTCATCAAGTTTGTGGCTTTTTTTTGTTTTGTTTTGTCTTTTTCCTTTTTATCGGTACCAGGGATCAAACTCACAACTGCCTGCTTGCAAGGCAGGCACTTATGCCGCTGAGCTAAATCCCCAGCTAGTTTGTAGCTTTCTGACCCTGGGAACAGGCTGTGCCTCTCAAGTCTCATCTTTTTTTTTTTTTTTTTTTTTTTTGTCTTTTTCCTTTTTATTGGTATTGGGGATCGAACTCACAACTGCCTGCTTTACAAGGCAGGTGCTTATGCCGCTGAGCTAAATCCCCAGCCCTCTCAGTCTCATCTTTGAGCAGTTTTAGAAATATGTGATTAGAAATATAAATTGTTTTTCTTTTTATCCTTAAAATAAAATGGATTTGGAAAAAAAAGCTTTAAAAGGGGACTGGGGATTTAGCTCAGCGGCATAAGCGCCTGCCTTGCAAGCAGGCAGTCGTGAGTTCAATCCCCAGTACCGATAAAAAGGAAAGAGACCAAAAAACAAAAAAAAGCTTTAAAATTTTCTCTGCATTAAAATAGCTTCCACAGTATAACTTGATTTTTTTCCCATTCCCCTACCCTCCCTTCAATCCCTCCTCTCCTCCTAATTATTTTATTTATTTATTTATTTGGTACCAGGGATCAAACTTCTGACCTCTCGCATGCAGGCACTTATGCCACTGAGCTAAACCTCCAGCCCCTCCCCTCCCAATTAACAAAGTCTTGTTTCCATTTTTTCTTACTTTTCTCAGTTTTTTTTTACTTTTCCTTGCTTTCCTTTTCCCCTACCTCCTTGCTTATTCCCCTTCCCATTTGAACATTTTCTTCCTATTTCACTATAGGTAATATACATTTTGGTCCTTATTTACACTTTAGGTTACAGCAGAGAAACAATGTAGTATTTACATATATGTGTTGATATATTTCACTTAAGAATATGGTCTCAAGGTGCATCCATTTACAGAGGAATGTCTGAAGCTTATTCTTTGTGGCAGAGAAATACTCCACTGTATAAACGAAAAACCATGTCTTTACCTATTCTGTAGCTGATGGACATTTAGGTTGTTTCCAAGATTATAAACTGCTGCTATAAACATGGGTGCACATATATTTCTGTAGTATGATGTTATTCTTTTAGGAAGACACGAAGGGGAATAGCTGGGTCAAGTAGAAACTCTAGCCCTAGTTTTTTTAGGCATCTCCACGCTGATTTCCACAGTGGTTGCATTAGTCTGTAGTCTCACCAACAATGCACACAGCCTCTGCAGCATTTGTTATTGTTTGATTTCTTTCTTTTTGTTTGATTTCTTAATACTGGCCATTCTTTCTGGGGTGTGGTGGAATCTCAACATTATTTTAATTTGTATCTCTTTAGTGACCAGTGATGTTGAATATTTTTTCATATATTTATTTGCTGTTGGTGTTTCTTCATTTGAAAAGTGTGAATTCATCTCAGATGTCAATTTGTGGATTCAGTCTTTAAATTTGGGGGAAGTCTGATTATTTTTTGAATTTTTAATATATATATATATTTTTTGGTCTTTTTCATTTTTATCGGTACCAGGAATCGAACTCACGACTGCCTGCTCGCAAGGCAGGCGCTTATGCTGCTGAGCTAAATCCCCAGCCCCAATTTTTTGAATTTTTTATATGTTCCTGACAGTAATCTTTGCTCAGAAACAGCTGGCAAATATTGTTTCTAGCACTGTGGATTCTCTTTACTGTTGGTGGTTTCTCTTGCTGTGCAAAGGACTTTTAATATGATGAGATCCCAATTGTTGACTCTTTGTGATAGTTTCTGTGTAATCTGTGTTTTGTAGTCTTTGCCTACACTATTGCCTTCAAGAATTTTACCTATTCTATCTTCAGCAGATTTAATGTTTCCATTTTAATATATAGATCTTTGATCCACTTTGACCTTAGTTTACTGCATGGTGAAAGATATGGGTCCAATTTCAGTCAACATATACTAAACCAATTTTTTCAGCACCATTTACTGAAGAGGCTGTCTTTCTTCCAGTGAATATGTTCAGCACTTTTTTCAAAGATAAGATGGCTAGGTGTGTCTGGAGTTTCATTAATTCTTAGGTCTGTATTTTTTGTCAGTACCATGCTATTTTTATCACCGTAGCTTTGTAGTATAATTTCAATTCAAGGATTGTGATGTCCCCTGCCTTGCCTTTGTTGCTAAAAGTTGCATTTGCTCAAAATTAAAAAAAAAAAAAAAAAAAAGTTGTGTTTGCTCTTGTAGGTATCTTTGGCTCAAAATGAACTTTAGGATTGTTTTCTCTAATTTTCTGAAATATGCTGTTGGAATTTTGATCGGAATTGCATTAAATCTGTATAACAATTTTGGAAGTATGGCCATATTCACTCTATTGGTTCTTCCTACCCAAAAGCATAGGATATCTATTTTCTTTTTTTTTTTTTTTAAATCAGTACCAGGGATCGAACTCATGACCATGCGCTTGCAAAGCAGGAGCTCATGTTGCTGTACTAAATCCCCATCTGTTCTCTGATATCCTCTTTAATCTTCTTCCTCCCACCCCCAGTACTGTAGTTTTCAATGTAAAGGTCTTTTACTTTCTTTCTTAGATTGATTTCCTAGTTATTTCCTTTTTTGGGATGCTATTGTGAAAGGTGTAGTTTCCTTAATTTCTCTCTCAGTGAGTTTGTTATTCGTGTACAGGAAGGCTATTATTGATTTTTGAGAGTTGAATTTGTATCCAGCTATGTTACTGAATTTGCTTATTAAATCTAGAAGCCTTTTGGTGGAATTTTGGGAGTCTTGTACATAGAGTTACCAAGTCATCCGCAAATAATGAAAATTTAACTTCTTGCTTCCCTGTTGTCTTAGTTACTTTTTACTCTTCGCTGAGACAAAATACCTGAAAGGTTTATTTCTTATAGTTTTTGGAAGTTTCAGTCCACACTCAGTTGGCTCCAAGGCCGGCAGGCATGGCCTGGGCCGCTGTTCATGGCAGCCACCAACGGCAAACAGGAACTGGCAAAGAGCAAGACACACCTTCTTCCTGCCATTACATCACAACCTGGCTCCACCCCTATGTGGGTATAGCACCGACACCATCAATCCAAGCACTAGACAATGAACGAATAACAAGTGCACAATTCAAACTCATGAGGCCT